CTAGCCTTCTCTTAATCAATGTGGCCTGCTGATCCACCTCTTGGGTAGTCTTTGGAGTCTTTGTACACCAGGAGCCCTGTGAAGCTGCGCTGAGAGGTGATGAAAATGATGGGTCAAGCCTTGATAACACATCCTCAGGGTTGAATGGATACAGGCCAGAGCCTCTGAACCCTGCCTGGATGTTCTGAGGTGTGATTGATTCAAAGTATGCAGCTTTGAATGCATCCATAAAGGTGCTTTTGTTGATATGAAAGATATGGTTGCGGATCAGGTGCTGAGTCTGTTTTGAGAAGGCCTGCTTCAGAGGGCCAAAGCAGGCAACATCAAGAGGCTGGAGTATATGAGATGAGTGAGGAGGCATCCAGAGAAGGACAATATTGTTCTTTATGCAGAAAGAGGTGAACTCTGGTGTTGTATGGCTCCCATGATTGTCCAGGATCAACAATCTTTTGCTGCCAATAGTCTTCATTCTTGTATGATTTTCAAAGTGTTGGATCCATTGCAAGCCAATCTCATCACTTGTCCAGCCTTGAGGGCTTGCTGTAAACATCCATGTCTGAGGAAAGTCTTCTCCAAGCCATGAATAGTTGATAGTCTTGCCTTTGAAGATGAGGAGTGGTGGTATGGCTGAACCATCCGCACAGGCTCCTTGGATGACTGTGATCCATTCAGTGCCTGAAGGCTTGACTTGCTTTGGCCTACCAGTCCTTTCAAATGATGTGACTACTCTAGAAGTTGAGATCTGGCCTAATTGAAAGCCTGTCTTATCAAAGTTGTACATGTCTTGTGGTAAGATGCCATGCTTGTTGATAGTGTTCTTCACAAGCTCAAACCAAGCCTCAATCACTGCCGGAGTTTCATAGAGCCTTCTCTGGCATTCATAGGTCCTTCCAGATTTCATTATTAGCGAGGGATTGCGCTGAATGAACCTGCTAGGCCAATGCCGGCCAACTTCAGGTTTTCCCTTAGCTTTGCAGATGGAATTGGCTATAGATCGTATAATATCAAGGGTAGGAGATAGCCCTTGAGAATCCTGCTTCAATATGTCCTTAAGAAGGACGCCCTCCTCGATCAGAGTAAGACTGCTATTCTGTGGCATGTAGTCCTCTCTACTAGGCATTCCTTGCAATCTGCGACGTAGTGTTGATCTTGGGATATTGTACATTTTTGCAGCGGCTGACACGGAGTCAATAGCATCTGATTTGAGAGCTGATATTGCAAGGAGTATACTCCCTTCGTTTGAGCTCATTTGGACGCGTTTTGATGGAGCCATCACGCGTTGAAGTTGTTGTTGTGGTTAATACGGAAATTGGTGGCCACGCCCTGGGGGTGGCCACGCCCTGGTGCTTGGCGTTAGTGTGTCTTAATTTAGATAAGGTGGTCACACTGGTATGGCTAAGAAAGTAGAGGTGACATTAGCTCGTTGTATTGAGCTATTGGAGTGCTCCGTCTGATTCAACTAATTCGTGTGCCCTTTTGCATTGCTTCGGATGACTCGATGCAAGGCTGAGAGTCTCAAGCGGACTCTTCTACCTTCAGCACTATATCCATATCCACCGATGTCATCATATCCTATCTCGACAGAATGCAATGGAAATTGCTGGAGCTGTGGACAATGCCGTTTTCGAAGGTGGGGAAGCCTTGCTGCGTGCTGTCCCTGCAGGCGCTGCGCCTCAAACAAGAGCTTCAGTTCACCGGTCTGCTGGCTCAAGACCCACGACGGTGAACGTTGAGTCGCACACTCCGGATCGTGGGAGTCATACCAAATGATGTGAGACGTCTAAACCTGTATTCGTCAACACATTCGTATTCGTCTCTGCTGTCGACAGATGAATGTCGATCTATTAGCCATGGCAGCTACCAGTGGACCTAACAGTGCGAGCGTTCTTGATGTGTTGTCACCTCGAGAGCGCAAGATTCGATTACTCAAGTTGCTTCCGGGACAGGAAAGTTCTCAGATTCGCTGCGAATTGTATGTCGTTGACCTGGACAGCAAACCAAAATTCACAGCCTTATCATATGCCTGGGGAAATCCTCCTGAGGGCTGCACAGTTTCCGTAAATCGTTATGAAGTCAAGATACGCAAGAATCTATGGCGGTTTCTTCGCCAGGCACGAGGATCACCGCAAGCATTGTTTGAATACATCTGGATCGATGCGCTTTGTGTTGATCAATCTAACGCCGCGGAGCGAAGACATCAGGTCGCGTTAATGGGTGAAATCTTCGCTGCCGCCGAGCGGGTCATTGCTTGGATCGGTCCTGCACACGGCGGCAGTGATTCAGCCCTTGAAAGCATTCGCCTTGCTTCACCTCAATGGACAGCCCGGAAGTCAGCCGCGAGAAAATGGAGTTCTCCTGAAGCATCCGCAATTCGTGCCATCTGCGTGAGAAGATACTGGAAGCGACTGTGGATCTTTCAAGAATTGCTCCTAGCTCGGGAAGCTGTAATAATGTGTGGATCACGATGTATATCAATACAATCCTTCAAGACTTTTCTCCTTGCCATCTCAGCTTGCAGTTTTTCTCAACATGCTGCGGAGCAGCACGAACTTCGGAGTGTTCGTGAAAGCCCGGCTTTGAAGATCATGCAGCACGTCGCACGGCCACGAGCGGAATATTCATCAATATACGATCTCATGCTGGCTACCCGGGAACTCCAATGCTCTGACATACGAGACCGGGTGTTTGCAGTGCTTAGCGTGAACAAGTGCCCGTCAAGGACGCTCTTTGCCGACTACGGGAAGTCTATACCTCATCTGATCAACGACGTACTCCGAGATCATCATACTTTTCAAGCACCAGCAGGCCTTGATGCGATCAATGAGCAAGGTCGAGAGCTGGCTAAGATCATGAAAATCGATCCTCGAGAAGTTTTTGCTGTGTGTGACAGCGACTTGCGTTGGAACCCGCAAAAACCTGCACCTGAATTCGTGCCCCATAGTATCCATGCAGCTATGGACGTTGGGCTGACAGCGGAGCCGAGCAGTGACCTTGAGAGCTCGACTGAAGGTCCAGTGTACGACGCAGAAGCTGAAAACCATTTTTATGGGAGAGGACTACACGGGATATGGGTCACGGTCACATGGGCAGCATATTGGCAACATGATATCGTGATAGACCTTATGTTCAGCCAAAAGATAATTGATTTGCCGACCTGCTTCTTGGAGGCGATCAAGATGGATCATTACGCAGTCATAACAGCTCTCTTGGACTTGAAAAATAGCGGCTGGCGTCAGCATGTCAATCTACCGATCTGGGAGTCAGCTAACGCCCTCCAGTGGGCGGTACATGAAAACCGTTTGAGAATCGCAGAGCTGCTCATCCAGGCCGGCGCCGATGTTAATTTATGCGGTTCGCAACATTGTGCTCCGAATTTGAGCTTTGCAGATATCGACTTCGCAATCGGATTCGCAAACAGCTCTGCGCTTCATCTTGCAGTGATTGGCGGATCGGTCGACCTCGTGACTTTGCTTCTGAATCACGGCGCTTTGATACAATTGGAACACCCGTTTCCTGATCCTGAACTTCGTTTCGAACTGAATGCTTTGGAAGTTGCGCTGGTACAGGGCCGCGCTGATATAGTACAACTTTTGATCGATGCAAAGGACAACCAGAACCAGTACCTGGTTAGAAGAGTCCTAATTCCGGACTCACTTGCAAGGCTCCTGTACATTGCCGTGATCAACCAGACAACCGCTGGTGTTCTGCAGTTGCTTGAAGAAATTGATAATTTATCCTTGGGCCAATTTGTCGATCTAAAGACATGGTGCCTAGCGTCTGCAGTGGAATACGGTGATTCGACAATTGTGAAACTCCTGTTAGACTTCGGCGCATCACCAGATGCCCGAACACAATCCAATGCCGCAGCGCTACAATTGGCATTACGCGACAGTAAAGAAGCTATCGCAACACTCTTAGTGGAGCATGGCGCCCAGGTGAACATAGCTGATGTTGGAAAATGGGGAACTCCGCTTTGCGTGGCCGTACAATCTGGCTCCGAGAAGATGATGCAGTTGCTGCTCCAGCATGGTGCTGACGTCAATGCCAGAACGAATGGCGATGATGGTCCTGTAGCATTGGTCGAAGCGATCACCCTTGGCTCTGAGCCAATGGCACGACTCTTGATCAAGAATGGTGCTGACGTGAACAAAAGTTACATTGACCCCGACTTGGAAGACCCATTCTCCACCCCGCTGGGTAAGGCAGTCGAGTTGATCCTGCCTTCGATGATGAGAATGCTGCTTGGTTCCGGTGCTAAAGCGCGCTGCTGGCATCTATCAACATTGATTCGATCGGCATACGGCGTCAATTTCAATAGCGAATCATTGGAAGCTTCAAGATTGTTGTCAGATAACGGGGTCAGGGCTTCTCTTCACAATCAAGCCATGTTTATCGAATTGGCGAAAGCGCAGAACGCGAAACGCCTTCAGAATAATGCCAATTTTGAGCTCTTTCGAGAATGCCTCAAGATCAGGCAGAGTGTTCTCGCAGTCGCGTGTGAATATAAATATTCCCCGTGGAACAACCGCGCGCTCCAAACTTCGGGTTCATCTCGGTGCCAAGCGGTAGCTTGAGATCAGAGGAAGCATCTGAACATCGAGGCCTCCGGGAATCAGGGCTTCTGCTAGACAGCAAGGGATCATTTCGGAAGCGAACGCCATGTTTCCTGCAACTGATATGGATTTAGGTGCCGTCATACGCCTCTCAGGGCAAGTCCGGCCTCCTTTGATGCCCGAGGAAGTCCTTTCTGAGATCATGCGAAGGCAACTCCTATTTCCCACAATGCGATGGCATCTCATGGATCTGTCGCGCTGAGTCCGCCTCCACGGGCGCCATAGCTCTGGTGATCGCCGCTGGTGATTTCTCGGTCCTTGACATGGGATATGCTTCATCATAATTCGGCGCAGGCTCGTAGCCCACTCCCCGTTGTCGGAAATCGATGGGTCCAGAGCCGTCTTTTCGTAGGAGGCCTTGGAGAGAATGTACGCGCCAGAAAAGAACGGCGAGGATGATGAGAAAGAAAGTGCCGACCTGGGAGGCACGGGTCAGATGTTTGAAACATTGATCTCAATGGGCAGACTTACTGCTACGCCAACACCAATCCCTATTTGGGTGCCCGAGGTCATCCCATTCGTTGCTCCCGGTGCAGCGGATGTTGCAGCTGCTGAAGCGGCAATGGCTGCTGAGGCGGTGGCTGCTGATGGAATGGTTGTGAGTGTGGTTCCTGAGGTGGAAGTTGCAGGAGAAGGAGAAGGAGATGTTGTTGAAAGAGCCGTTGAAGCCGTTGAAGCGTTGGAAGATGTGGTGGCGGTGTTCGCTGAGGATGCTGCAGCCGTGGTGGTTGAGGCTGATAGAGAATTTGTCGAGGATGGTGATGTATTTGCTGATGTCGCGGCATTTGATGTGGGGGATGCGTTCGGGGATGATGCTGGAGCTACCGATGCGACAAATACGCCGCTATCCCAAGGGATGACTACAGCTTGAGGCAACTGGAAGAGTGCGCCCGTATCCTTACAACAACTTTGAGGGTCAACGAACGGAGCGTTAGAGACGTGACAGCAGTAGTTGGTCAATCCCGAATTACATGCCCAAATGGGAGCGACTTTGGCGACAGATTCTGTGGGAAGAGGAATTGATCAGTGACCAGAAATTTTCCAGAGCTACAGTGGCGTTGCACCGTTTCAGATTCGATGTGGGTTCCACGTACTTGATGTGCATTGTGTTTGGCAACCAGAGAAATCTGCATTTACGCATGCCGGGCTTGTGTAGAGATATGTGAACGGTGAACTTGTGTCTGGAAGATTGTTGCCCGCTGCTTGACAGACGCCGCTGGCTGTACACTTCTGATCATCGTTGCAGCAGAAATTCTGACCGGGACACTGTTTGTATCCGCTGCTTGCTGGGCTGCCATCTCGATTATAGCATGCCGCTCGCACAGCGAGGGTATGCAGTGCCAGGACCAACAGGCTTGGTAAAGATCGCGACATGTTGAACCGGGGCATGGCGACGCGCCAGTGGCACAATCATATACAATCGAGTGACTTGTGAATGGTGCAGGACGAGAGATGAGGTTGGCTGTGGAACGTTTGGTTGTTAGAGAAGGTGGACACCCCTCAGATGATCGTCACGGCCACTGACGTGCCCACCACGAGGACTCGGCAGCCAGGCAAAGGCTCCGAGGGCTCTGGACCTTTTAAAGGTCAGACGCTCGTGTTCAAGCGACCACGCCTGTTATCCCGACCGTTACGCTATCGACCTTTGTTGACCACTCGTCGACCATGTGTCAAGGGTAAATCAACGAATTAGCTGTATCTGGATTAGTGCTTACTATCATCACCCAAGGCATCCCGAGACTCGAGTCGCAACCAATCCTCCGAGCAAATCGTTGCAAGACGCTTGATCGCTGTGTCTGAAGATGTTGTCGACGGGGACCACAAATCCTCATACTACGTTTCGTGCGCTTCGAGCTTCAGTACATCTGTCGAGGACTTGACGGCGCATTAAAGCGCAAGCTGTTCAACACTCGCCTGCTTCGTCTCCTGTCTCGTGTAAGATATTAGCTCCACTTTTCAGGTCCTTCGCTCGTGCGCTAAATCTCACTTCATTTCTGCCGATGCTTTTGGTGCCAACGGCTGACTCCACACTTGTCGACCTCCGATCTTGGAAATCTGAATTCCCATAAATGGGTTTTGTCGCGTCAGGATAGGCAACACATAGCCGCATACGTGTCAGTGTTCGTGTCATGAAGTTTTAGATCAATCTTCGTTTGCCGAATGTCTGTGCGTGGGTGCGGCAAGGCTGTTCATGGAGGAATATCATCAATGACAGAGCGACGAAGCCATTGGCTCCTGGCGGAATTACGGTCCTTCCGCGTGGCTGAAATTTGGTGCAACATCGCGAAAGAGTCTCGCCGAATGTGAAGCTATTTGGTGCCATTTTTGAAATCATCTTGGCAGAGGGTTGGATTAGTGGTAACCACGAGGAAGTGGTATTTCTTGAACCTGATGCACTCCCTCATGTGCTAAAATATAGATCGCCCAAGCATGTAGCATATGCGATGGTCGGCATCGTCGGTATATACATGACTCGAGAATGCACGCTGCAGTACGAAGATCGTTCGGAATGTCCTTGCTATGGCGAGGTCTCTAAATACGTGCCGACGTTCGAGGTTATCATAGTCGGCTACAGTGCGATCGAAGGGCAGAATACTAACTTGCCAAGGTCAAGAAATCGCGAACTCATAGGTACCATCAAGGAATTTAAGTCAACAGACCTCCGAGATCTCTTCTGAATGTTCGTGGGCTGGCTGAGATCTTTTGAGGAAGGAGCCTGCATCGTGAAAGGGGTTCGACTCAGCCTCATATTGACCATGATCACCTCGAGCTTTCATGATAGGCCGTCAAAAGCTCCCGGGTCAGCTACTGCCGAAGCGGACAGGCCATGCTCATCCATTCCTAGATCCGATTTTGTCGAAGATATCGAACGGCAATGTCGCAATTTATCCCAGAATACCATAAAATATCATAAATTCATATCTAGCCCCTCGCTCAGAAAACCACCAAATCATCGCAAAAGCTCCATCATGGCAACTCTCCTGGTTGAGGTCCCGGCAACTCATGTACTCGCGCAAGTGGACCATCCACCTTAACAGGCGCAATCGCATGTCCCGTTATTGCAGCGGGCTTCTCCGCAGCCGGATTATTTACTGCCGCATAGTAATTCGGTGCAGGTTCGAAGCCAGACGCGCGCTGCTGTACCTCGCCATGGAGCTGTTTGTCCTTTCGGAGGAGGTTATGGAGAGCTTGCACGCGCCAGAAGAGGACTCCGATTATGATCAGGATCAGAACACCGGCCTGTGGGGGAGATGGCCATTAGTACCGAAGGCCGAGAAGACTCACGCGTGCGTGCGCGTAGAGGAACATGTACGGGGAGTGCTGACTGACGCCTACACCAATGCCGATGCCGATCTGGGTGCCCTGAGAGACGCCGCTTGCGGTGTCTGCTGCAATACTACTTGTGCTTGATGGACCCGAAACGAACGCGGTCGGCGTGCCCGAAATGGTCGTAGAGAGGGTTGAAGCGGCCGGTAAAGACGATACCGAGGATGCTGATGAGGTAGTGGTCGTGGTCTGGGGCAATCGTGACGAAAAAGTTGTGGCGGGCGAGACGGTGCTATTCCAAGGAATCACAATTGCTTGTGGCAGTTGGAATAAAGCACCTGCAGTCTTACAGCATCCCTGATTGATGTTGAGAGATCCCGAACCGAGGCAGCAGAAGTTGGTCAATTCCAAATTGCATGCCAAAGGTATGTATCGGAGTTTGTTGATGCTGACAAGCAGCATGGTCAACACTGACTCCACCGCGCGATGCTTAATTTGATGTCTCTCCCAGGCAACCACTTACGTGTTGTACATTGGGGCACGCAGCCCGAGAAGTCGGCGTTCGTACAAGTCGTTGTCTGGTACAAGTTGGTGAAGTTGGCACTGCTGCCATCGGCATAGTAGACTAGATCAGTCTTCGGAAGATGATTGCTGGTGTCCTGGCAAAGGCCATTACTTGTGCATGTATCTGTAGTTTTGCAGCAGTATGTTTGGCCTGGACAAGCTTGGTAGGCTGAACTTGCAAGAGTGCCGTCGCGATTGTAGCATGCGGCCAGAGATGATGCGACTGACGAGAGCACCAGCAGAATCGACAAAGGGGACAACATGATGACCCTGATGTCGCGACGTTGGAGAGGTCCGAAGAATGTCGCACACAATCAAAAGCTGACTGAGAGCGCTGGGACAGATGCAGACCATGCAACTACTTAGCACTCCTTCCTGAGGACAGTCCCGGATGGTTTTGGCGAGAAGAAATGAACAGAACGCAATGCGCCGGGCAGGAAGGTGCCCGCCGGTTCATGGTCCCGGAGCTGAACGCCTAGCCTATCGTCACGAGCACCGCAAGCAGTACAGTCCACGGGCATCCTTCTCGCCCGACCGGTGATGATCTCGCCGTTGATGCATCCTTGTCGGTACGACGATCGCACGCGGAAAGGGCCACACAGTGCGCTGGACACACCAATGAATGGTCACGCCAGGGACCCTCGAGCGAACTTGCATTTCGTCGCCAAAGCGGAATAGAGCGGCTTCCCTGGACGCTGGCTGGAGTCGTCTTGTGGAACTGGTGGCTGAGCTTTCTTCGGTATACATGGACAGTCATTTGCTGTCGGGGCTTTATTCTCATCAATCAATCAATTTTCTCGTCGCTGCAGCAGTGGTAGCTTTAAGCGATGGACTCTTGTCGCGAAACGTCGCGGCCTGGATGAATGAGCTCCGAACCCCGAGCGATACAGCCAGCAGTCTCTACGGCTCGTCCCACATACGTGGCTCGGGAAGTGCTCCACAGCCTGAGCGATTTCACACGTTCATCAATACAAATTTGTTGACATTCTACAGTCATATCGTGAAGCTCATATCTTCCAACATGTACCAGCCCGACTGAGCATGGCGTACCCTGTTCCGATTTGAAGTCAGCGTAGCAGCAGATGTACCAGGGCTTCGAACCAAGCGGAATATACTTGAGCGGAGATGTGGGGCGATGCATACGAGTGCCGAACGTCAAGGAACACGATTTTCCGACATGGCCGAAGAAAATGCGACAAAGACAAGCGGGATATAAAGCCGACCTGTCATTACGAGAGCGTCAATCAACAAGTGACGATTGGATGCCTTTCATCGAATGAGTACCAAGGACGGTTTCGTCCGTCGCAGCATCTCGTGCCAAGCATCCCAGAGACGCAGTCGCACCGACGCGATTCCCAGCCGACGGAACATGCCATCAGGATTCTTCGCAATCACGATGAAGATCATGTTCGTCGTCTCTGCGCCGTCATCGCATAGCAGCAGGGCATACAATACAGTGTCCTCATCCCCGGTCGCCTCATCCCATTCGATGAGATCGTCCGGTATAAAGACCTTCAAGGCAGGGTCATGACCACTAGACTCCTTCAGCCGGATCTCATATCGCTGATCCTCATCGTTGGAACCGTGCTCGATGTGACCTGTGATCGGAACCAATCTGCCAACGATCATCATCAATGTTTCTGCCGCCTCGACTTGGCCATGCATGACCTTTGACAGCAACACGCTCATCTCTGCGGTCGGCTTGCGTTTCCATTTCTTGTGGTAATTGATGTTGTTTTCGGGGAAATTGCAGCCATCGAAATTCACAGGTCCGTCCATCGATGCCCAGCTCCATGAGGGAAGACTTCGATTCTGCGTGCGCTGCGGTCTGACACCGGTCTCATCATCCTCGAGCGCGGACCAGAGCAGCGAGCTAGGAAGCATTTCCATCATGATGCCGTTAATGTAAGTATATCCGAGCAATCTCGCCACTTGGGTCCCAACACCCGCGATGGCGTATAATTTGTCTCGCTCGGGATAGGTCAGGTCCAATGCCGAATATTGCTGCATGATGACGTTCCAGAGGAAGAGTAGGTGAGCTCGCTTGTCGTCCCATGCGGTGTGTAATTTGACGCTGCCTGGTAGACATTGCGTTTCCCGGTACTTCTCCGTCGCCTTCGGATGCGAAGCTATCGGGGCCGCCTCAAATCTCCCGCAGGTATTGCAGGTCCACAATATTTGGCTGTCGGTGAAGTGTACCATTCGATTCGACAGCGTTCGTTCCTGCATGACCCACCCTCGTGAAAACAGAGGCGACTGGTCCAGGTCGGAGAGCGCATTTGTGGGGCTCTGGGAGTCAAAGACGAGGTGGGTCGGTCCGCCGGTTGATGGATTGCTTGGAAAGGTACTCCAGAGTGTTTTCAGCGGTGCTCTAGAAGGAAAGCAACCATGATAAGGATTGCCAGCACTGGCAGCGCCGATATTAATGGCGCCGTTGGCGTAGACGAGATGCATAAGTTTTGCTTCTTGCTCGAAATCAAGCCTGCTGAAATCATCGTCACCCTGAAATATGGTACAGCAATCAATCCAGATGTATTTCAGCCCGAGACTCAAAACTACTCTCATGGCATCCCGGAAGGAAGCTAGAAAGGTAGCGATCGGGATGCCATTCCGAAATTGGGCCAAAGTACTCTTGTTCAACACTTTGAATGGCTCTTTTCCCCAACAATGGCTGAGCGTTGCGTATGGTCCAGTGGGACGCTCCTCATCGCAGATTATGAGTCTCGCATAGTCATTGTCGAGGTGTAAAAGCCGGGTCGGGTACCAATCCCGAGAGACTGGCTCACACTCTTTGTGATTCTGTACACAATCTTCGAACCACGCCTTGACAAGATCCAAACAGGCAGGATCTCCCGAGAATGACTGCTGCGAAGACTGGTATGAAAGCCGATCGATCGAATTCAATCCTTCACATCGGGCAATTTCCAAGGCGGCGGAAAAGGGAGTGGGTCCTTCAAGACCGAGCTCGTCATCGGTCTCGCCGGCTCTGGATCGAAATGTGTATCGAATGGGTAAGTAATCAGGAGTGAGCTGCATTGTCAACTCATACCACGCAGATGGGACCGTAATCACAGCGTCCCAGATTGATGCGCAAATCGTACATCCCGATTCGGCGGCGATTTGGAGCTCGCGCTGGGATTTGTGATGGGGCCCAAATATTGATTCGGGCGCCAAGTAATAGGACGGCTCGAATTTTTCATCGCCCAGGAGTCCATAGCAGAGTATAGTAGCATAGGCGATACGGTCTTGATGATGGAAACAGTAGTTGAGAAATCGCTCGCACGCAAGACACACTGTGGGTGGAGTCCGCTGCTCGCTTGATTCGCTGTTCCTAGTCCCTTGTAAATAACTTTGGCCTCCTGCTGCAATATCCCGATGCGTTGAAAAGGGCTCCGTGGACATCGTGTCCAGAGTCATCGCTTCCTCAGCACAAAAACTCGATACCGGGCGAATCGCAGAGCAGCGAGTGTACTGTTCTCAGAGGCAGATGTGCAGAACAATGATGACTGGCCATGGCCTCCGGGCCGGGCTTACGACAATATCCAATAGAAGCCGAAGAGGTTTGAAGGATTCATCTTGAGAGAGACACCCTTGACGTCGCGGCGCGGGCTCTTTGTAGCAATGATGAGCGGGCCAATAACATCGCAGGCGTCCACGGGTATGGAGCAGATGTGGAGTGGTTATAGCCAACTCCGATGGAGAGTGAAATCTGTCTTACAGATATTACACGCATCCAACACAGAGGGAAAAGAGTAATAATCATTGGAGATGTGCGTTCCAATCTCAAGTGATGAAGGGACCTAGGCACCTACACATGCGGTCAATCTTCTCCAGGTGTAAAGGAGTTTTAGATGACTAATCGGTGATGAGTAATCGTCCCTGACTGGCTACAGTCAACCTCAGAACTCTACAACCATTTCTCGTGAACATTCCGTTTCGACGACTCTGTGAGGCCGCCGGAAGACACGTAATTTATTGCAATGATTTTGCAGAATGCGCTTGTTGAAGGATCGCGTTCGACTTCAGCGCAAATATAAGTCACATACTCGCCGAGGTGCATCTCGCTTGGATGTCCGAAGGACATCTTGGCATTGCAGCAGCGACTCACGTAGCTCAAAAGGCGCCAGATAGATCTGTGGGACGTACATATCCGACCGCTGGAGTCCACACAAAGCTTTTGGGCAGGCGTTGACAGTGCAGAAGCGGCTCTCGCAGAAAAAACACGATGGCGGAGAATGCCGCGAAGCCATTGCCGGCAAATTACTTCCGGTGAAGCTCGAGGACGATGTTGCTCACCTGTGTATTATCCGTGGTATCCGCTGTCATGAATCTTCCGGCTTGTCCGCCCAGATCGAAGGGCTATGCTCCTTGGACGGTCGAGAACTCTTTGTACGAGGATCCAATGCAATAATGAACAATGCAATCAAATAAATCACTGATGCGCCAGATCTGCTCAGAGATGAAATGCCGTACTGGATTTGTTATCCTACCTTCCCTAGCCGTTGAATCCTCGTACGACTGACGGAGCTGAGGCCGGCAATGCGACCACAGTGCGCTCGAGTCGCTATTGCCGTCGACTGTGTTGATTATCATCTGAAGATCATGGAAATGTCGAATTCCGATGATATTTCCTCCACACTCATGGTGCGTGAAGGCTTGTGAGACGAGGCGAAACGTGACCCTACCCGGCGTGGTTATCTTTTCGAAGACCTCGGAAACCGCATCAAGGAGGAAAGGAATCGTCCAGCAGTCCCTCGCTCGCGGGAGTCTCGGCGGCCATCGCCAACAGACCTTCCGTGGCGCGTGCCCAATAGTCAAGATGATGGCGACTTGATTTCGAAGTCACAATGTAGTATTTGAGCGACTCATCGGCATAGGAAAAGGATTATACGGAGGCAAACAAGTCGGGTTTGGCGTCGTGCGACATCTCGACGTAGCGCTCGTCTTGTTATACATCAGCCATTCGAATGCTCTACTGGAACCTACCGTGGAACAGAAATGGATTGGTGTAGATAAAGACGAGTATTTTTGAAGAACGGGATACGAGCTGAGCGCCGTCTGACCCAAAATAAAAGCCGAGGACCAATATTTTGGACATTTTCTTCTACATGTCTACATCCGCGCAGTAATTGGCTGATCGGCCAGCGCACTTCTCCATTCGAGTATCACGCGAAGCACAAAACCCGTAGAACGCACGCGAGGCTGTCAATGCATATAGTATCTGCGGGGATGTCGGACTCGCGGCCCATGAAGATCTTGCTGTGGAAGAAAAAATCTGGCAATTCCTTAGAAGACAGCGTGAACAGCTCCACCTGAGCTCTCACCGACGCGCAATCAATTCCTGTTCCTGGCGGTCACAAACTCCTTTTTAGCGTGAGGCGTACCTGCGCAACTTGGCAATTCTTCGCGCCGATCAGTAAAATTAGCGGTGTCGTTAGTGCCCGAGGGAGATTTGTATGATGACATGTCTGGGAGATGCGACACAATCCCTGGTCGAGTGTGCTCGCCCCGCAATTTGTTAACCTCTTCCTACTGTACCCCGACTTGCTGGTTAGACATGAACGGCGCCCACTTCTTCCAAGAATGCGAACTGGCTGCTGAACTTGTCCGCAAGGAGACCCAGGCACATCTCGTACATTGCCTAGTGTAGCTATTCAGCCACGCATTCCCTCCACAAAGTGCGCGAAATATAGACGATATCACACCAACAAATGATCTCCATGGAGTTTGCCCACACGGAGGGGATGCGTAGTGTGAAAGCGAACGCGCATTCAGCTACGCACAGTAATACAGCGCAGACGCTTACAAAAGACGTTTTCGACCAAGATTTTCGACAAACGGTGGTGGTGGGGGTCCTGCAGTCCCACCGTACCCACGGACGTTGAGTATGCTGACCCCTGTACTCAGGAATGATCTCATTTCGAGTTGAAGTGGCGGAAACCGTGCCTCAGCCGATGGCTTCAGCTGGTCCTGGGCTTGTCGTGTGCGGACATTGTTGCGACACGACGTGCTCGGCCATGATGTGCTCTGGCGCCGTTATGTGAATGAGCATGATCACGGTGCATGGTGATGCTTGTACTCGTAAGCTGCGCAGAGCAGCCTCGGTGATCGTCCTTCAGCGGGACGGCATGTATGGTGCAAACCAAGTCACCGAGTTTATTATTCATCGAGGGAGAAAGCTCATCCAAGCTGATGTCCCAGGAACAAGCTGTGAACTCATGCACTGTAGGGGAACTGCTCTTGTGCAAAGTACATTTTCTGTGGTGGTGAGCAACGATACTCTACAGCAGTATATCGTACCCAATCCGTCCCTGCGGCACGCTCTTCAACGCCAAAGTGTGGAGCCAAAATCATTATGTGGAGAAAAAGACGGAGATGGCGAGCCCAAGATCGACAATGCCGCCGAAGTCCCGGACGCCTTCCATCATTAAGAAATGTTGTCATACGTGGGCACAGCAGAACAATCAGACAAGCTTCCGCCCCATTCATCGGCTTGATTAGTTGCGTCGCGAGGCGGTCCACAACAAGTTAGCTCTCCCCCAAAGCTAGTCCAAAACAAGCCGACAGTGAACGCATTCTCCGTGAACAGGGGATTGGTCAGGATCAAGCCCACCATCTGGCTGTCGATCATCAATGCGCCTCTGGGGTTGTACTCCAACTTTACCTACCCAAGAAGTCATGCGCATCCCGGTCCATTGAATCTCCGCATTTTGGGACGTCGCGCGATGATCGTTACATCTCCCTTAGTTGCGACGGGAGTTCTTTAGTGCCGAGGTAGGTCCAACGTCGATGGACAGGAGACGAATACAAAAGGCATCAACATCCTGCTCGAAAGAAAAGTTCTTCCCCTGATCAGTACGCAAAGCAAGACAATCATTTACATCGCATTCTTTCACTCCAAACAACCCATCAACAACCATCAAGATGCGTTTCTCCCTCATTGCCGCTGCCCTGCCTCTTTTGGCTGTGGCCTCCCCGGTCGTCAAGCGCGCCACTGACGCCGACGTCACCGCCATCAGCACCGCCATCAGCTACATTGCTGGCAACATCACCAAGCTCGACAACCAGATCAACAAGCTCGGTGTCAATGACACCATCGGTGGTCTCTTCACACTCTTCTCCACCGGTGATCTCCAGAAGGCCATCACCAACACCGAGACTGTCGTCGACGGCGTCAGCGGCCAATTCGATGACAACCAGTCCGGCGCCCTCGCCATCCCGCTCACCCAGCTCGTCCCGAAGGTCGTCGGCCTCCTCAACGACATCGTCAAGGCCCACCCCAAGATCCGCACTGCTCTCCTCGGCGGCGACGCCTCCTTCATTGTTGCCATCAACCTCAAGGACAGCTACACCAAGACCCAGTCCTTCGAGGGCAAGCTCGTTGCCAAGCTCTCTGCTCAATACCAGGCCATCGCTCCTCAGGTCACCTCCCAGATCGACACTGCCTTCCAGGCTGCCATTGCCGACTACTCTTAAATTATTCTTCGAATTTGAGAGCCCTCAGCCGTGACTAAGTGTAGCTCTTCACGCGCATTGGATTATGCTTTGCTGTGAACCACTTCAGTGTGTGCTTCACAGTCACTGCATGGGATGAAACGATATCATGGAATTCTAACTGCTTCGATGTACTATCTTCGAGAAGAAAAGGTTACGAGTTAAGAACCTTTATACCACAATAATACCACATTCAGTCACACCTGATGCTATCTCTCTATTGTCTTCACCCGTGACTCCTTCCATCTTCGCTCCGTGATCACCCGCTAAGCCTCGTGCCCTCCTAAGATAGTAATTACAAAGATGATCGCTGAGAACAAAACTCGGGAATTTTCCTGAAGCACGAATTCATTCCTACCTTCACAGATTCACGCGGCGCACACGTGGAACACGCAGTTCGCTTGCTCCACTCACACTTATCGCGACCGCAAACATTGAGACAGACAACGCTGCACGGAGCAAGCCGTCCGATGACATATGCCGCATGACCAATTGCATGCAGTAGAACTATAGCGAGACATCAGCGGAGAGAGTTTGAAAACATCCGCCCGACGCCCAAATTTGTCCAAGACTCCGTAGAGCTTCGCGACATCGTATTTATGTAATTCAGAGGTATCACGGCGACCTTCTTTGCGCTGGAATAAATGAAGCGCAGGTCTCCATCCGCCTCACACGTCTATGCACATGCTGATCTGCAAAACCAGGACCGAGGGAGATGGATCATGGTGGAAAATGCAGGTCGCGCAAACCACACGGGTTGTTTTGTCGCGGACTGGGAGATTACCGCGCGCGCCTCCATATGGGGTTTCTTCGATCGAGTCTCTCTTTGGAGCTATGCGTATTGATTATTGTACACAATAGATGTCCTGTGTAGAATTCGTGACTCGTCGGAAAGTGAGGTCTACAGTGTTTCACGTCTGATGAACAACTCTGCCTGCGCTCTATCATAGGTCGGCTTCGGTCTTTTTTTTTTCGAAGAAACCTTTCGTGTGCACGAAGCACCGTTCGTTTTCTTTCCGCTCACTGCCATTCGTTCGCATTTTTTTCCCCGGAACAATGAGCTGATCTTCTACACTTCTTTTCTTCGCCGACGGGACGCGATCGAAACGGTGGAGCCATTCCCAAAAGTCTCATACGCTGAGTGCAGCGGATAGGGTTTGGGTTACATAACCCTAAAATTGGCCTCTCCCGAGGTCTGTTCGCGAGTGACTGACGAGAGAAAAGAGAGCACATGCTGTACCAATCTCATGGCCAAGCCTGCCGGAGCTCAATTTCCAGAGATCGCTCGCATGAAAAATAGCTAAATAAATCGTATCACCGTGCATTATGCCGTCGCTTGAATCGAGTCTACCAGGTCAAATCTTCAAGGCAGGAACAGCAGGGAAATGCGTTGCCATACTGCGTCGCGTACGTCGCAGGGCACGTGTGCCTACCAAGGCTCAGAGGAACCAATTTCGAAGCAACCTTGAGATTTTCCGCTTGTCCATGCAACACAGCGCTTCACCAATCCCATGTCGAAACGTCATTAACTAACTTCCATCCCATTCTTCGGCTATAACGCCTCAAGAGGTCATGGCTATTGCTCTCATTGAGTTCCAAGATATCATTCGTAGACCAATTAGCAGGCGACCAACTGAACTCGACATGAGAAAAGTCGATCATTCGCACAGTCATGCGCGAAGGGTCTGTCAGAATTATGCCGTCGAGTCTGGGGTCCCACTGAACAACGCCGCAGTCCGAGATTTGCTTGTAACAGTTCTCCACCGCTCGAACAAGCTTTGGGAAATTCTCCAGGTCGTTCTTATGATGGAGGAGATCCATCCCAATGATGTATTCGAGAACGATCGTGGGTGGGCCGCGCAACGAGCAGGTGCCATAGAGTTCAGGTGTAACAGTTCCTTGAATCCGTTGCATCATGTCGTACGCTGTGACTTCGTCCGCCATGAGAGTTTCGTCGCGGTAGCTCTTAAGAATGAGCTTCAGCGGTTCCTCCGGGGAACGGGTTCGCGCGGAAACCGCATTGTCGCGGTCGTTTGATTCTTCCAAATTGAGAGCTTCTCTCGCGTTGTCCTGAAAACCGTCGATTGCGCGGCTACTTGCTGTGTCCTGGTCGATGCTCAAATGGCTGAGACCTTGTCGAAAGCTTGCGAATTTGACAGAAGCCGCAGGCGTCAAATGGAAGAGGTAGACCACGGTAAATTCCGTTCCACGTAATTCCTCTTGAAACCCGTCAAGGGTGCAAAAAGCTTGCTCGTATTCGACGGTGATTGTCGTCGTCTCCGATACTGCCATGTCGCTTTCGATGAGGAAGCTTGTCCGGCCAAGTTTAGCGCGATAGCACGATGGTTAGCGTTGCATGTAGTAGTCGGACGGAAGCTCCAGAAGGACATCGGCACTGTAGCACCTTGCGAGAAATGAGTGAGAGTCCAACTCGGTGCGATGAGGCGAGTGAAGAACATATGCCGGAGAATAGGAAATATGTAGGGCATCACGTTCAAAAACATCTAGTCGCAAGGCAAATGGATAGAAGCTGTCGGTAGGGAAGCCGCGAGTGAGGCTTCTTGTGTGGAATGCAGATTCCCGCCTTGTACTACATGATGGGTTTCACAAAAGCATGAAAGATAGGCGCCCGTGCAAATTTTTTACCTGCCTGCATAGGTCGGTAAGAAGAATCGAAAGGCCTTCAATTGTTTGCTCGCGCTCCTTTGCCTATCGTTACCGAGACTGTAACATTCGTGTCTCAGAGGGTAGCCGCCAGCGCCAACAGGCTTTGCTACCAAACAAGATTCGCGGTCGAATAGGACACTCACACTCAGGGCACTCCGATGACTCAGCCAACACATGTCTTACTCTGATGACTCATCTGACATATCTCCACTCCGATGACTAATCTGATATATCTTCTCTCTGACAAGTACTCGCATGCTTCTCTAGGTTGTATACGTGCTTCGAAGCCTGCTAATGCCTTCCAAAGACGAGTCTTATACGCACAGAAGCGGCTTCTGATGTGAAGCCACGTTGATCGAATTATATCAGGCAGAGGAAGCAGAGTAGAAGGACAGCTGAATCTTATTCCAAGGTTGTTAAGCTGCTGGACTGCCCCGTTTGACCGGTCCCTACAGAATGTCCCGGCACAAGAGTCTCGGTAAGACACTTATAGAGGAGACGGTACATGGCCTTCCGGATGCTGGGACCCTCACGACCGACTGGGATGAGCAATACTTTTGTGTTGCTAGTCTTCACATCTCCTTCCCAGCGCAGGATGAGGAGGTTGTGCGAATCGTAACAAAAGGCGCTTTTGACATGGTAGTAATGGGCGTAGCTGTGATTTCGATTAGCAGAGACCACCAGCTCTACGTCGCCTTGTGTTGTTCTTACCCTGCCAGTTCACGCCACAAGTTCATGACCGCGACGGATTTCTTTGCACCAGGCTTCCATGCTTCCGGGTCGATCACAGTAGGGCGTTTGACCTCTCCAACGCAGATATTTTCTCGTTCCAGGTCATGATACCTGATTGTCCAGTCCACAATGACCTTGGAGTCCACATCGGGGTTGCTCTTGCGTGGTACATCAGGATTGGGGACGGAGCGTTGGCACCGGAACCACAGTCGCGGTACGTTGTGGAAGGCCCTCTTCAGCGGCATGACGATGTTTTCGGTGAAGTGCACCTCGGCTTCGCCCTCGTTCGAAACGCATGAAGCATGCGATTGGAAGTCCAATGTCTTCCCCTCGAGGCGCCCTTCAGCGCGATCTTGCACGTCGTCAAAGAACTTGTCCAGAACGTTCGACTCGAGCGGGTAAAACTCCCTCTCGAGTACTGGAAATGATGATGTCCAGGGCTTTTTCCTAGTCGTCTTCTTGTCATCATCATCATCATCGACCTCGCCTCTCGGCTTTTCGAACGATTGTTTGAGGAAATCTTTCAACGCCACGGGAGCCATGATCGAAAGTCGCGATGATAAGGCTGGGAGAATAAAGTGGATGAAAGACTTGAATGATAATCATGAGTCCATGGCAAAGCTACCGATATTTATACAACTCCGATGTCGAGTGTGTAGACAAAACGACCAGTCGCTTAGAGTATCCAATCTTCATGTTGCTCTCATGGGAGATCAGCCTTGAGCGGACTCTGACGCAGGCGACTGTAGGTTGTGTCACCTAAACGTAGCATGCCGACTCGACTCGTTCGAAAAGAATATGGCGGAGCCTGTCATATCTCGTCATCTGAGTGGTTGGCGATACACTACAGACGGGCGCATGCTGCTGTGAAACTTCAAACGCACGAATCACCCTTGCAAGTTTTGTGCGACCTGACAGTTCTTCAAGAGGGTGGTTGTCTGGCGGTGGTGGTCTCCGAAGCTGGCACTGCACTTCATCGTTTGACGCCGGCGCATTTTCAATTCGAGGACTCCATTGGTCATGACAGTAAGCGTCAAGCACGGTTCCGATGTGATTGGAACAATACGAGGTGTTGAGACATGCCAACAGAGCCCCTGCTAGTACCGCGCCTTTTGCCGCCGCCGCGAACGTGGTTTTTGTTCGAGGTCGCACAAGAGTTGGACCCACTCTGAGTGGGCGTCCGTGGTGGACATTCTGTTCTTATTGATACTTCGGTGGTCTGAGGCTCGTTGTGTGTTGGATGCCCGCGAGGGATCCCAGCAGACAAAGATGTCGCACGCAATAGAGCGAGGTCCGCTCTCAATTTCTTGATGGATAGACGACCTCGGGCCGAAGTTGAAGCGGAGGCCAGCGGCGTGATCACACTGTCCGAAATTGCTGCACTTTTTGTAAGGACGCAACTTGAAATGGAATTTGAGCCGCTCGGACGGGCGCAGGATGGTTGCGAAAACGCCGAATGCTGCCTGGCAAATATGTGGAAGCCGATGTTGAGGCTTTGCGCATTCCAATGACTAATAATCCGATGTTTGGGCACATTGATGACTAATAAATTTCTGTTGGAGAGGAGAGAGAAAACGGAGCGCGCTCCGAACCCGACAAGTTTTGTCGTCATCACAAAAATGAGGATTGGCTTGGAACGCATAGGTGGGTCAGAGTTCATGACATTGTTCCTATCTACACAACAAGGACGAAGCCCTTCGCCCTAAATTTGCAAAAAAGGAGTTCCACTTCACATCCGTCTCAGCTGTGAGTTTTCCCGCACGTCCCACGAGAACTCTTGTCGAAAGATCACATGCGACGACCGTGTCGATGTGGACACTGATATCTAGTCCAAACAGATGTGGTAGGCTGCTTAGTTATAGTAGCAGCCCCAGTCGTACTTCTTGCCGCCCTGGGAATCGGCGTGCGCGCCTCCGTAGGTCTGGCTGCAGTACGCGTTGACATCGATGTTGCGTCTCTCAGGGCCGTTGGCGCAGTACCAGTTGAACGCTCCGCCAGGAGCGTCGTTGCTGCTGTCGTTTCCTCCGGACCAGCCGGCGCCCCATTGGTTGTTGCAGGCAGCGTTCATGTCGACGCCTCCCGCATAGGGGCCCCGAGCGGCGGCCGGCATAGCGGCGACTGGGACGACGAGCATGGCGACACCGCTGAGGGCGGTTGTGAGGGTGGTGATTCCGACCATTTTGGTTTTCTAGCGACAAAGTTAGCATTCAAACACGGTCGGTTTCGGAGGTGGGAAAGGCAAGATCTTGTCCTTGCATGGATGTAGTTCGAGAACGACTCACGTTATTTGGTTTGTGGGAAATGTTGTTGATGTGATGGTTTGATGAGAAGATTGTTTGTGGTGTCTGATTTCCTTTTGCATTTGAGAGAAGCACGCTGACTTTATACCTTTTCGACAGGCAGTATAGATCCTGAGCATCATCAAGAGACTTTACTTTTGCTGACCTTCCTGTGGAATTAACACGACGATCATAATACGTCCATGTCATGTCTAGTGCCTACCTCCAATAGTGATAGGTAATAGCTTTGCCAAATGGCCAAGACCGTGACGTACCATGCCTACGCGAACTGGGGCCGAACTGGTCGCAGCTTAGATTGTCGATATGTTGTCATGCAGGAGATCGGCATATTCACAATAAGCGAACGGCCAGTCCTTACGGCGAGACCGTCACGGTCTACGATCCTACGCTACGACGCCACAGTAGTGGCTGCGTAGTAGTGCTGATGATCGACGTGGAACCGCATCCTTGGTAGGGACAAGCTGGGGCTCGGAAGTCGGCCCCGTAGATCTCTTGTAGTGTTTCAAGCGTGTAAATTTTAACTGGGCTTCACAGCGAACGTTCGGACCGGAAGGATTAATCTGACTGTCCTTCTGGGAGGCCTTATATGACAAAATGTGGAGGAAGCTAAATGTATACGCCGGTGAACCTCACTGTCCTTCCGCTAGCCCCCAAAACTTATAATATTCGGAAAACCTTATTTCGATCGGATGCGCATCCGAGACTACCCAAGAAAGGAAAACCTATCTCGAAAAGGGTAATTTATAGTAGAAAATCTGCGAGGACGGAGGGTTCAGGTACCAAAACACCTTGAGCCAATGGCCGCTCAGAATCGTCTACTGTATGTGTAGGGGCCAGCGCATCGACTCCTGCTACAAGACGTCACAAGCATGTGATTCCGAGTTGTAGTATCCACTTGATACTAGATCTTCGCTGAGCCTCCACGACTGCGGATGCACATCCATGGCAGAAACTCCTCATGAAGGATTTTGCTTGGCGGATCTACTTTCAGGTCCTCAATCTCCTGGACTTTTCTCAACCTTGTCGATGGACCGTCGTCATGACGAAATTTGGCATATAGGAGGGGGATCGTGCTGCATTGGAGGCCCGCCATTCGTTCTTGTCCATGAGGCTATTGTATTTTCCAAGAAACCGCCCCACCCGATTAGCCGAAATGTTCGCCGCTGATCAGCATCGCTGAGGAACAACCCTGCACTTGGCGGAAGTTACAATTCGAGTGGATCGTAGAATCAGCAGTGACTTGATACAATGTGACATCGATAGGCTCATCGGGTTTGAAAGGAGCAGATTGCAACTTGAGAAGCCATGTATCGCTGGCTGGTCGTATCACGCGACGCCAGAGCGGCGGTCTAACTTTCAAATTTCAGCAATGAAAAGCTCTACAGCTACGCACCGCAAGGTGCTCTCGTATCGTAGGCCGAGAGACCTGGTGATTGCGATCCAATTCATGGAAGGCTGAGATGTAATCAAATCATCCTCGGAGAAGACATGTGATGATGTATCCCACTGAAGTTGGGACGCGTGCTCCACCGCGAATCTTGCATCGTCTTGTACCCATCGAAGTCTCTGATATGTACGTTGCAGGTTTATCCACAAGCCAAATATGTCCAAATTAAATGGAATCTCGTTGCGAACAGGCAGCAGAAACCAATTGAATTTACATCAACGTGTCTGAGGACTCCCCACTGTTGCTCAGGCAACCTCAATGCTGATCCCTGCGTCGTTTTCTCGTCGACCGTGTCTCTTGGAAACTTGCCATCTTTCTCTTGAATTTTGCTTGGGCCGTCGTCGTTCAAAAGGCCGCCGATCAGACCATCACCGGATCCGGAGATGGAATCACCCTGACACTTGGTCGGACCACCTCCGTTGAGGAGACCCCCGATAAGGCCGTCACCAGAGCCGGAGCCCGAGTCATCTTGGCGTCTGGGCGAGCCACCATCGCTAAGAAGACCGCCGAGGAGGCCGTCACCGGAACCAGAATCAGAGCCGGAGTCGACCCGGCGCTTCTCCGGGCTGCTACCGTCGAGAATACTTCCGTCTAGAAGTCCAGTAAGGAGGCTCGGGGCTTGCCTGAGCCAGACTGGCGCTTCTCGAGGGGCGCAGCAGCGGCGAAGGCGGCGAGGAGGATGGCGACGGCGGCGGTGGAGTGACGCACGTTGGGGGGAAGCGGTGGAGGGTGCAATTCGGTCGGAGGAGAGGTCGATGGGCGAAGTTCAGCTCTTCATGGACGGATGGAAGGTGTAATTGTAGCTTCCACAGCAGAGTGTGTATGTGGATGAGTCGATTGTGGAATTTGCTTCGATGTGCTTCCGCGATCGCGTGTGAAAAAAAAAAGATATTCTACCGTCAAGGGACAAATGGCGACCGATGGGACTTGAAACCTGAGAGTAGCCAGTTGGCTCACCATGCGAGAACGAGAAGAAAAGAGAAAAAAGAAGAGGGATGAGGAGGAGGAGGAGAAGAAGGAGGTCATAAGAGTCATTAAATAAGCGAAATCGGATCATCATAATCATCATAGCCATCGATAAATAAAACCCTCCTTCTAGAACAAAATTCTCATTCTCTTTCCATAATCATCACTCCCCGCCTCATCCTTTTATCGCATCGCATCCCTCACCTCCCTCCCCGCGCCCAGGAAATCCTCGCGGCGGATCCCACTGCGCTCACACATGCCCCTGAAGATGCCGCCCTCCTTCTCAAACAATCGCAAGGGCGAATCGAGTTCGGCGACGTTACCCTGGTCCATGACGAGGATGCGGTCGTAGCCGATGATGGTGCGGAGGCGGTGCGCGATGCACAGCAGGGTCTTGCCGGAGAAGCCGCGGACGATGGTGCGCTGGATCTTCTGGTCGGTTTCGAAGTCGACGGAGGAGGTCGCTTCGTCACAGACGATGATCTGGGAGTTGCGGACGAGGGCGCGCGCGAGGGCGAGGAGTTGGCGTTGGCCGAGGGAGAAGTTGAGGCCTTCATCTTCGACGGGGGTGTCGAGGTGGATGCGGGAGGTGTTGTTGTTGTTGTTGTTGTTGTTGTTGGCGACGACGACGGTGCCGTCTTGGCTCGGGCTGGAGGGAGAAGGGTTCTCGAGGGCTTGCTCCGGCCCGACGAGATCTGCTTGGCGGAGAGCGTTCCACAATTCGAGGTCGGTGTGTTCGTGGAAAGGATCGAGGTTAGAGCGGATGGTGCCGCGGAAGAGGGTGGGATCCTGCGGGATGATGGCGAGGCGGGATCGTAGGTCAGCTAGGCCGAGGGTGGAAATGTCGAGGCCGTCGATGGTGATGCGACCGCCGCTGAGCTCGACTAGGCGGAACAGCGTTGACATGATGGTTGATTTACCCGCGCCGGTGCGCCCGACGATTCCGATGCGCTCGCCGGCTTTGACGGTCATACTCATACCCTTGAGCACCAACGGCAGACCAGCTCGGTAGCGCATTTGCACGTCTTCGAAGACGATCTCTCCGCGCTCCGGCCATGAGGAGCGGACCTCACCCCGTTGAAGGGGAGCTTCCTCCTCGAGTTGGGTGCCGTAGTAGTGGATACGCTCGGTGGAGTTCATGTTGTTCTCCACTTCGGCAAGTTGTCGCACACTGAATTGAATCATTTGGACGATGGACAGGATGTACGAAAGGACCAGACCGCCCGTCGAGGGGTCGATGGAGAAACGTGCAGTCACGACGAGAATGCCGCACGTGAACACCAGAAGGTTACCGAGGGCATCGAGTCGAACGGATAGCCAGCGCTGGTTAGCAAAGGTGAGGAAATATGCGCCGTCCATTGAATCCAGAGATTCGGACAAACGATGGGCGAATTGCTTCTCGACGCCATAAGCGCGGATGGTGGAAGTCCCATTGACTGCCTCGCTGAAACGGGCGAAGACCACACTTCGCAGATTAGCCTCGTGACGTTTCAACTCACGGGCCGATGCCCGGTAGTAGCCTGCAGAGAAGCAGAACATGAACGTCAACGGAACGAGAGCGACGACGAAGTAGTAGTAGTAAGCGATGATGAGGATGAAGACGGAGATGATGGTGACGAATGTCAGGGTGAACATTCGAATGGAATCCGTGAGGACGTTGTCCATGGTGTCGACATCCTTGGAGAATCGATTGGTGATGCGACCCATCGGGGTTGTATCGAAGAAAGACATGGGCGCACGCAAGACGCGGTAGATGGCGCGTTGCAGCATGACCCGGCTGGCCTTGGTTCCGAAATATGTCAAGGTGGTGGCGAAGGCAAAGGTCAAAAGGGCCTGGAGGACACCAAAGGCAGCATAGACTCCAATGTAGACGCCTTCGCTCAGGTTGAATTTGTTCGAGGTCCACCACGAGAGCCACAGGCTGGTGACAATGTTCGAGCCTTGGGAGGAGATGAGTAAGAGGAGGATGAAAGGGAGGACGGCGATCGAGCCGGAAGCCTTGACATAGGCCATGTAGACGCTGGAGCTGACACTGTTGACCGCGCGTTCCTCCTGCTGCATGAGGGCGGCAGCGGATTTCTTGGTCTTTTTGGTCTTCTTGACTGCGGCTTTCTTTTCCTTTTCGCCTTTGTCCTCGAGCACCTCCTCCACTTCCTCCTCTTCCTCTTCGGCGGCAGTGGTCTCCATGAGTTTTTGGAATTCCTCGTCGTGCTCCATGAGCTCCGGGAAAGTGGCAATTTTGGCAATACGACCTTCCTTCATCCAGACGATCCGATCGGCTCGGTGCAATACGTGCAGTTGATGAGTGGCCAAAACACGCGCCTTGCCCTTGAGGAGACCACAGATGGCTTCATCCATAATGTGCTTTCCGACGTGAGCATCGACGGCTGACAGAGGATCGTCCATGATCACGGTATCCGCGTTGAAATAAATCGCACGAGCAATGTTCAATCGCTGCTTCTGACCTCCGGAAACAGTGATACCACGCTCACCGATTTCCGTGAGATCCCCAGCAGGAAGCATCTCCAGATCCGGGCGCAGAGCACAGGCGTCGACGACTTGGTTGTACCAATGGCGGTCGTATGGCTTGCTGAAGGTGATGTTCTCCTTGACGCTGGCGTTTTGGATCCACGCGTACTGTGGACAAAAGGCTCGCGAGGCGCCAAAGGTCACATTGCCGCTGGTCTTGCGCATGTCACCCGCGAGAGCAGCCAACAGGGAGCTCTTCCCTGAGCCAACAGAGCCAATGACCGCCACAAGCTCGTCGCGACCAATGCTGAGGTTGATTCCTGAAATCTCGAACGGGCGTTTCTCTTTCTCCTGCATGGAATTGTCGTCGTCGGTCGGGCTGCTCGGATCGCTCTCCAACTTTTCCGCTTCCCGCTGCTTTGCGATTCTCTTGTCCTCCTTTTGCTTGATTTTTACATGCTTCTTTTCCTGCTTGGCATCCTTTTTCTCCTGCTTGGTAGGTTTCCCGGGCTTGTCTCCTTTGATGGGAGTATCATCGGTGTCCTGCGTGCGGGTACGTTCCCAAGTGAAACTTCCGTTCTCGATTTCAATAGCGTCGTGCGCCTTCTCCTCCCACGTAGCCTCTACGGGCAGCTCTTCTGCGTCTAAGAACTCCTGAATTCTCTTGATGGAGGCATTCGCATCGACGATCTGACCGATGACCATCGGAAGCAAATTCAGAGGAATACGCAGCGAGTTGAATAGCGCCAAGGACGAAAAGATGGGTGCAGGAGCAAGGCCGTTGCCGGAGAGCGAATAGGTGATGAATGCCAACATGGATGCGAAAATGGGCAGAGATAGTGACACGGCGAGGATGGCATTTCGGATAGAAAGCAGTTTCGTAATCTTGTCGACTTCTTGCTTTCGCAAGCTCGCCAGGCGATCGAGGAAACTCGTTTCCCATCCGAAAAACTTGACGAATCGAACCGAGGAGATGATCTCCTGGGTGAGTGTGACACGCTGGTCGGTGACCTTGTTGATGAATCGACGACGAAACATGAGACTTTTGATGGCTTGACCGAGAAGCGGCATCATGATGACGATGAAAGCGAAACCGGAAAGAGCGCTGTAGGTGATGTTGATAAGCAGGAGGATCAAAGTCAAGACGACTTGAATGGGTGCCGTCCAGATCATGTGGAAAAGACCCGAAGCTTGGTCGACGCGGTAGGTATCGGTGGACATGAGGTTGACGATGCGCCCATTGCTCCAACCGACTCCTTCTCCGGAAATGCCATTCTGCGCATCCGCCAGCTTCTTCTTGAGCCATTTCTTCTCTTCCTTGCTTCCCGGCTCGAATTGAGGCGTCTCCTCAGCAGCAGTCTCCGCCGCGCCGCCTGCTCGCGCCCGACCGGATAACCGCATAGCTTTATCAAAGATCAGGCTGATCAATGTCGAACGCGCTTGGCCACCGACCATCATACCACGGTAAATGAAATGATTCGTGGTCAAGGACATGAGCATCTGCATAAGAGTGATTCCAAACACCAGACCGATTCCATCTCCAATCGGTGGTGCAACACCGAGGCCGCGATTCGCGTAGTATGCCTGGGATGAGAATTGAATCAAATATTTCATGACAAACGGAGTCAAGATTTGTGCCAGAGAAGCAATCAGCTGGCAAGCACCTCCGAAGATGAACTCGCCGCGATATGTGTCGTAGAGCGCCATGGCCAAGGGTCGCTTGTGCTTGGCCTCTTTCCGTCTCTTGTAATTCTCCCCCATGCGCTCTTTCTGCGAATCGATCGATCGTTTGGGGTTGACCGCCCAGATGTCATTGTCGACGAGAGGGCGCTGGTAGCCGACGTCCATGAACGACGCCATCCATTGAAACGTGACGAGGCTGAAGAAGCCGGCGTCATATTCCCGAGAGACTTGGCGCTGGTCGGGCACGGGGGGTGGGTTCTTCCTCCTCAACGGGTTGAGCTTTTGCGACCAGGTTTGTTTGACAGGCGGGAGTTCGAGTTGATTTGCGGGTTGACTGGATGTGACGCTGGTGCCTGTGGTGGTGGTGAAGTTGCTCTGGGTCCGATCCAGGTTGCTCGGTCTCAGCTCGTTTTTGAAGTCGCCTTCGATGGGTGATTCGGCCTCTTCGATCGCTTCCCGATCATGACCTTTCTTTTGCAAGTTGATGTCGTTGTCGGAATCGGTGGCGTCGAGGGTATTTGATTCGGCGGCCGGGTTGACGTGTTGGGTGTTTTCGGCGCCTTGAAGCTGGGTATTGGGCGAAAAGTTGCCATCAGGCTGAGCGGTGGGTGCAGCCATGGTGGCTTTTCATCTGCGCCGGCGGTTTGCGCACGTTGTTCAGTGGAGGCTTCCAATGGCGATTGACGCAGGATGCTTCCCTTTCGGAATTCCCGAGCGATTGGATATGAGAGCAAATGCGCGAGTTCTGTGAATGTGGTGACGCAAGGGTCTCTGAGACAAGCGATGACGAAAGAGTTTCTCCGAACGAAAAGCGCATGCAAGAGGTCTCACGTAGTTTCAATACGGAGACGGCGAGGGTTCCTAGATGTCGATACGACAATGCTGTTTAACGTGTCTGAGACAAGCAAAGCGAACAATCTATAGAGAGCAGGACAGCGCGAGCGAAAAGGGACGAGGAAGGAACAGGAGCGAGTTGGAGTAGTAGAAGTGGTAGCAGAGGAAGGGAATGCTGCTATGTAGTTAGTTCAGGTATCGGTCGTCGGTGCTTGAAGTCGTCACGCCCACCACGCCGCACGAACGCAGCTGTCTATGATGACTGCTAGTCTATTTTATTACTGCACCGAGATATGTGACTCTCACTCCCGATGATGCGGCTTACGAAATGCACCTGCATGTGCTAGTTAGTATACCTGGTAGGTATTCATCATTTCATGGGACAATTCATGGGACAATTCATGGGACCGTCGGAAGCAGCTGTGACCGGCATGTAATAATAAGAACTATTGCAGCACCAAAAACCAACAATGGCGACTGCAGTGACGAGAGAGAAAGAGAGAGGGAGGTCTCTTCCATTCCATTTGCACGCATTCTAACCATCATCAACATCGTCATCAGCATCAGCATCATTCTCCTTGCGCGCGCCCCCCATCATTCTCGGCTTTTTTTTTTCTCCCGCCAGCATTTTGTGCATTCCATTGCAGCTGGAGCCATCGCACCTGGGGAAGCTCCGATGTCCGATGTCCGGTGTCCGCGGATGACCAATCCAGTCCAATCGAATCCGATCCATCCAGGAAATCTCGCGTGGGAAAGTCGATGAGATGGATGGATGGATGGATTTGGTTAAACCTCCGTCCACCATTTCTTCTTCTCTCTTCCTCTTCTTCTTCTTCTTCTTCTTTTTGTTATTCATCATCTCCTTCGGGTTTGGAGTGACATTTCCTTCCAAGCCATACTACTACACTACTACAGTAGGTACGGTGGAAAGCATTCATATCATCCCGGAGAGGCAGACAAGCGGAAGAGAAAAGAGCCGCCTGCTCAGTCATTATTATTCTTAGCCCGCCCGATTGTGGTTCGACCTATGGGTACGGTACGGTACCTAGGTAGTCTCCTCCCCTCGCTAAAAAGCTTCGAGTTCCTTTTCGTTTCTCGGGCTCGGATCGTCTCCTCGACCCGTTCCTCGTTCATGCGTTTCTACGTGCAAACTCTCATGCGTTCCCGGGTTAGAGTACATCATCATCGTCGACGTTCTTCCCTCATCGGCCGCACGTGGTCTTGTACGATCCGAAATCCCATCACATTCATTGCGAAAACGAATTGTTTTGTCAACCGTATTTCATAATGTACATCGTGGAAACGGAGGCCACGATGAGGGACGACCGTGCATGTCAAGGGGAAATATGTATGTATGTCCTTGAACGCCTCTTCTCCATCTCTTTCTCTCTCTCCGTCTTCTCGTCTCCCCATCTCCGCCGGAAAGCGGCTGATGATCGATGTCCGCGCGCAGGTGCAGGTGCAGGTGGGGTTGAGTCATCAGTCAAGCTTTCCCTGCACCCGCATCTCCATCTGGGCAGCATATGCATGCGTGCGTGCATGGATGGCCTGGCATGTCAGATTTCCCCGGTCCGTTCCAATCGCTTGGTAAAGAAGTAACCGTGTTGTTTTTTTGAATCACCATCGCATAGAGTAATAATGACCAGGTCACGGGTTTTACGCCCTTTAAACCCGCCCGGACGGAGGATTGTTGACCCGCCTATCTGCAGCGGTCCAAGTTCCAACCACCACACGCGCACCCAGAGGGATTTTATGCCGTTCCACCGTCGTTCCACCCACCCGCCGACCCGTCCGATTGCGGGGAGGGAGAGAGCTGCTGCTGTTCCGTTGAGATCCCCATCTTCAACAGTAGGCACGACTCTCTAGATACCTAGTAGCGGGTGGGTGATGAGTTGAAACCTCACTACCGAACAGTCACGATCATTGAAACAGTAGCTATAATGACGATCGTCGCCCACCTGGGTATAATCATCTACAGTTCTTATGAGTTCTGCGTGCGATGAAGCTCGACATCATCTCAAAATCGACCCGTCGCTCTTCGCGCTCTTTATGAGGCGCGTCCTCTCCCTCGGTGCTACCCGTTGCAGCTAGAGAGAGAGCATGCGAGAATGAGAGCACGCGAGATCTAACAATGCCCATGACTCGCAGGAGTTCCGTCAGCTGTCAGAACACTCCTCCTCAGAAAAGTCAAGGTCCAGGGCCGGGGAAGTCTGTCGTTAGGGTTACCATCTGCCTGCCTGTCACGGTCCTGTAATCGAGCACTCCTTCGCCAGAACACGCACGCAGCAACATGAAAGAACGTCTCGTATTTGAAATTGTCCGCGATGGAATTTTATCTCCAATCTATATCCTTATTGGATACATCAAAAATCGGGGATCCTGAGCTTACCACGAGATGAAGTAGGACTCAACCTCGTTTATCAGGCTGGATCTCGGGCATGTGTCGACGACTTGTCGCGGACCTGAGAGGGAAGTCTTGCTGGACAAAAGTGGAACCGCCTGATAACTGTAAATGCGTGCATGAAGCTGACAACGACGGCGCTGCAATTTTGTGCTCTCTTCAGTCAAAGAATCGGAGTCGCTTCAGTATCATATCTTTCCGGATCCATGCCGGAAACAGACTTTCACGGAGAATACTGCACAGGGCGATGGCCATCACGACCGAAGCAAGAGATGCCTCTCCGACAAGGAGACGTTGCGGCGTGGGATAGTTGAAATATTCTATAGAGATAGCAAGGGCGTTCACGGTCTCCTCCTCATATTTCAACGGAGTGCTGAATGATTTTGGTCTTCACCTAAAGTTCAAGGCAACGACAAGACAATGTTTACACGTTATACTTCCGGCATCGCCAGTGCGGCACTCGCGCTCACCACAGCGAACAGCGTTGCCCTCGGCGTCCGTTGAGTAAATGTCCCTCCGTCTCCTCTCCATCGCCGACGGTTGTAAAAAAGCCGGCAGCATTCCGCTACGAGCACGCGGTACTAACCGGTCAAGACCAAAAAGTCGCGAACGGAACGTCTGGCCGAGTCATTGCGCAAAGGCGAGGCGGAATTGAAGCAGCTCAAGTCGGGAGGGGCATGGAAGGGCATGGGAAGTGATGGTGTCGCGTGTTGTGCGATGGTCGTGTTGACTGCGCTGGGATTCTCTTTGGGTCTGGCATGGCGGGACCATAGATGAGAGGATGGGAAATAAACCGTTTGGATATTGCAATATATGAGTCGCGTATCGATAGACGAGGAAGAGGCGAAGAGAGTATTCGAGAGCAGATGGAATGGTTGTGAGAGGACAAGGTGATCGGAGTTCAAGTCGTTGGATTGAACGCCGGGCTGGAAAATCATCGGATCCTGTATCGATCCCGTCTTGCCTTGGACATGGATTTTGGGGTATGCCCGCTTTGAAAAGGCGTCAGATTCTGTCTAAGATGTGGTACCTGCGACTACTTCTCGTCATGAGGAGGAAGAGATGTTATTTACAGCCTGGACGGGCCATGTGGTCAATTCGTGTCCGCGGAAGAGAGAGACCTGCTAGATCTGTGGTGCTGCCCTGAGATCTGTTCGAGAACACTCATCAGCGGTGCAGGGTTGACGAGGATGATCCGAAACAAGGATTCGATTCATGTTGTTTGTCAGAATGTTCAATATATACATATCTTGAAGAGAGACAACCTCAATGATGAAACATCTAGCCAACGATAACGATAAGAAGTCGGTCACGGCTCGGTCCATTCTGCACCATCCTGGACCATTCCCATCAATTTGGCGGACAATCAGCCCTAATTTGACTTCACAGTGCTGGCGCACGAGACGATCCTTCGAGTTGCAGGCTGGTCGCCACCACTCTAGGGCTGTTTCCGCAACCGAGACCGAAAAGAAGCGTCTTCCACACTGTGATTATATAGAACTTGATTGCTGCAGGACGGATAGCAACCGATATCCAGGCAATCGATGACCACGACGGAGACGCACGAAGAGTCTTCGAAGTGCTCGCCCGCTGACAAAAATATCCCGGAATTGATGAGGAGCGATCGCACACGGAAGCATTGAGCAGCCGAATGATGAACGGGCGGCCTGCCTGCCAAGAGGGCCCAAACCGTTTGGAAGAGCGAAAGATTGCTTGATCGGGGATCGCGCTGATGACCCTGAATTTATTCCGACCACTACTTTACGCCTACCCCGGCCATACATGAAGATGCAAAGCACTTTGCGCGCTCTCGCGGCCTTCCTCGCAGAGGAGGAGCTGAACCTTGTCTCTCCTTGGCGGTGACAGGCTATGCTGCAATGTGGTGGACACTGGTGGTGTGAAGGAAAGGAAAATAACGTGGCATGCCTCGTGCACATCTAGCGTGTATGTAGATCCTCTTGTCGCGTGCGTCCAACGCCTCTTTTCTTTCGGAAGCACCTCTACTTTCAACAATTTTTGGTTTTCTCTCTATCCTCATTCCGCCATCTTCTATCTTTTGCAGCAAGAAGAAGACTTCACGCCGTTCGCTCTGACGAGACCCTGGAGCCTCAACCCTCACGATGCTCGCCATCTACATCCCCGCGCTGCTCCTCGCCGCCAGTTCCCTCGCCTCCGCCGCCGTTCCTTGCTTCAACCGCGATGGCAGTGTCGCATCCGCATACACACAATGTCCCAACTCGAACTTCTGTTGTAAAACTTCCGGCACTTGCGCGACGAATGGATTGTGCATGGACGGGAATAACCTCGTGAATGGTTCCATCGCAAATGTGAACGGGAAATTCTACAACCAGACGGGATTGTATCAATCGCCGGCCTGCACCAATACAAATTTCGATGGTTGCGTCCAGACTTGTCTTACGAGTAAGTCAAAACTGTTTGACTCCTTACTTATGAACACGACTTCCGATTTAATGCTTATCGGCGAGAGTGACAAATGCGCCGGAGCAAAGCGAACCAGGGAATGAACAGTACTGATCATTGATATGGTTACAGCACTCAACAAAGGTTTCGTTTACATTTGGGGATGCAACGACGCCCTGACCAGCTACTGCTGCAATGTCCAAGGCACCGACATCTTCCAGCGTCAAAGTTGTTGTCAGAATGGGACTTTCTCTCTGCCTGCCGCCAAGCCCATCCTATGGGACACGGCCGTCACTTCAACGTCTCTCCCGACGAACACTGCTACGAGCTCGCCAACGGGCAATCCGACCGCCGGTAGTACTACGAACAGCAACAACACCACTGGCGGCAACGGAGGATCGTCATCAGCACAACCGGAAACGGCCGGACTTTCCAAGGGTGCAATGGCAGGAATCGGCGTCGGCGTCGCAGTCCTCGTCATAATCATCGCCATTCTCGCCGCCCTCTTCTTCCGCGTCCAACGCCTTCAGCGTCGTCTGAAATCCAGCTCCACCGAGGCCGGCGCCGGCTCTTCCTCTGCACCCGCATATTACGAGGCCGTCAACAGCACCGACGGTCCCATGACACCTCCCACCACCGATGTCAAGGGATTCATGAGTCCCGAAATCACACCTTCTTTACAGCAACATCCTGCCTTGACGCCGGAGCTAAAGGCCGAAGTCGATGGGTCTCAGCAGACATATGAAATGCCGGATAATCGCGTCCAGCCGGGGGAGTTGGATTCGAGGAATCTGGGGCCGAGGGAGTTGATGGGATGAAAGGAATAAGGATACGATCAACCCTTTCAAAGACGAATCAACCCGAGAGAGCGATGAATTGAGCAAGTCTGGAAAAGGCCAGGATGCTGAAGTCTGCCAAAAAGGGATATGACCGGCAATCCGCATCGGCACTCCAATCGATTCGATCAATCAGCCAAGCCGTTTCGCTTCCTGTTGTGGCTATCACAGCCGCCGAAGCTGATAGAAGCGAGCGACGCCAGAAAGCACCGCACGCGGCAGCAATGCAAACCCCCAACATCCCGCCATTGCTACTTCGCCGCGCCGACGGTCGCTCTTCCGCCCGAAAATCCGTCTGGATCCCATCATAGTGACCACGCCCGATCACGAGGCGAGAAGCAAAAATTTCGGCATGACCCAGTCTCGGGATATAGATGGTGCATGCACGGAGGATTAGCGGTGAAGGAAGGGAGAAATTATCCAAACGACAAGGGACGATTATTCATCCGTAATCGCAATCATCGATCAGTCATTGAAAACCGGTCCTCACAGATTAGCGATTAGAATAATCCCGATTCGAGGCTCAGGACTGTGTCTGAGTGGAAGGGAAGTAATCCGTCGTTTCCGCGTTCTTGAATGACCAATAATAGATCGATCTTTGTTTATTTCATATTGCTAGAGATTCTAGAGGCCGATGGTTTTTGGTTGCCCGGAATTCTTTATGTCCGATTTTAAGTTCGGTTAAATACATGCGGGCGAGTGACATGTTTTAGCTGCAGCTGCGATCCTTCGTGCTTAAAATAGGGTTCTTGCGCCTCGAAGGCAAATTTCAATGCTTCCACATGGACCGCAGCGTTCCACCCTTGTGCATCCACAAATCTTGGCGAAGCCACCGCCATCTTGAAGAAGGACATCCTAGCTTACAACAAGATAACGAGATATAAGATGCTGACCATGTGGCACTCGCGTGGCTTTTGTCAGATGTGCTTGTTCATTCCCTCTCCAACTTATCCTCCTTGAGACCATCCTCTTTCGGAAGGAAATTTTCATCGGCACCTTGACAGATTGGATTACGCCGATAAAGAATTAGATCGCAATGCGGCTTCTTAATACTGAAACCCTCCAGCTCAGCAACGACAGTGCTCATCCCGCGACACATCAGTATGCGATTCTTTCACATCGATGGCAGCAGCCCGAGGTCACATTTGCAGAGCTGAACGGCGATCCGAATTATCTCAAGAACGACGCCTTGCAAACTCCTTCGGCCAAGAAGATCAGACAAGCTTGCCAAGTAGCCCGACACCGTGATCCGCCTGTAGAATGGATCTGGATCGACACGTGCTGTATTGACAAATCCAACGCCGTCGAGGAAGGAAGATGCATCAACTCCATGATGGAGTGGTACAGCAAATCATCAGTCTGCATCACTTTCCTCTACGATGTAGATGGCTTGTCCACGAACCACCCGAGATCGGAGTGGTTTGATCGTGGTTGGTGCTTGCAGGAATTGGTCGCGCCGCGATATATGGAATTTTTCGGACGGAATTGGAATTTCATCGGCGTCAAACATCAATTAGCCAACGAGCTCCAGCATTGGTCAGGTATCGAAACGAAGTACCTCACCGGACAGGCTCATTTCAGCGATGCGAGCGTCGCAACGCGGATGAGTTGGATGGCGGGCAGAACAACCACTGTCGTTGAGGACATCGCATACAGTCTGCTCGGCCTGCTCGGTGTATACCTCGCTCCTCAGTACGGTGAGGGGGTCCAAGCCTTTGCACGACTGCAGAAGACTCTACTGGAGACGTCACTCGACGAGTCATTATTCGCGTGGACAATCCCCCAGCACGGCCTCCAATGCTACCGTAGCCTCGGCAGCTCCATCGCCTGGGCGCCCAAAGAATGGGGCCTCCTCGCGCCCTCCCCGGACTGTTTCGCGCAATCCGCAGGAATCGTCGTCGATCCTTCAAAAGTCGTCTCCCGCCCCTTCGGCGGCATCGGATTGACCGCCCGCGGCGTCCTCATCAATTCCCCACTCAAAGGCCATACGGATGTCATGAATTTCCTCGGTCGGCCGCGCAGTCATATCATTCTCATCCTGAACTGCTGGGCGAGCTTTGATCGTAAGGCGCCGACTATGCATATCGAGCTGGTGAAGCGCGAGGATGAGTATGTGAGGGTCCATTGCGAGGAGCTGCTGCAGAAGGTCGGTGCCAGGGTGCCGGCGAATCAGACCATGGGCGTGGAGATTCCGATCCCTTATCAACTCACGGTGTTTCAGCCGACTTTCAATCTAAGATAGAAGCTGAATTGACGTGCTTGCCGTACCGCATGAGCAAACATAATTCTGCATATACTTTCATCATAGAGTAACAATCCGACTGAGCGAAACATTGGGCGCTGATGCGAGGTGGCAGGAAATTTCACTGGATGTGAGGGATTCGGAATATCGAACTCTCATTTTGCGTGGAAATTGAACATCTTCTACTTGTTATTACATCTTTCTAAGCGGGTCGCCGATCAGGCCCGCACCCATATCCGTGACTCCTGTGAGATCGTAGAATCCCATCTTGCTGGCAGTATCCGTGCCGAGCCGGATGTACTTCTTGAGGATGCCTTGGTGAAATCGGTGCTGAATTATGGGTTAGTATATGCCAAGGTGTGCTGTTTCTTTGTAAGGCTGGAAGGTGTTCCCTCTTACCTGGAATGGGTTTCGTGATTGGTCGTGGTAGACGAGCCATCGTTTCTTGCCGTCCTTGGCTTGGCCATGCAAGAAGCTGTTGGTCACGGTCAGGACGAGTTTGCCGTCCTTCTCCGTTGCCGCTTTCTTGAGTTCTTCGGCCTTGTCGACCTGGATGAAGAGATCACTATCTTGCTCGCTGCTCGCGTCTGCCCACACTGTAAGCGTTACGCCGGAAAACGAGAACAAGGTCACACCATACCGGTTGTATTCTTGAAGGGAACCTGGTGAGATTGTCCGGTCTTCCGCTACATTGATTGTTGCCACTGAATGTCGATGGGTTCGTCATCCCAACCCGAAGCGGCAATCTCGACGGTGAGCTGGACGGCCATGATGGAATTCGTTATCAGAGGGCGGTTACGAGTGACGGCTTTTGGAATTGCTTTTTTGCAAGGACCTGTCACGAAGTAAGGATGCATGCGAAGTACCCAGCTGTGTGAGGAATGAACCCGATGTCATAATTAGAATGGTATGTAGCACTATTCGTATGATGTCCGATTGCTTAAAATATTCCAACGAGCATCATACGCTACCGGACAGCTGCGCAAGAGTTTTCCATCTAAGACCGTCTCTCTATTCTGCCACGTTGCTGCCAGGCATCTCTTCGTCTCCGTCCAATCCAAATGAGATGTTTCCGGCGATTCCTTGATGGACGTATTCATGAAGCTGGTGGTTGGCCTTTCGGGAACATCCCTCCTCCCCGCTCTCCCTCTGCTTTGAACTGCTCCTCCTTTCACTCGAGAGCCTCTTCCTTGATTCCGACTTGCTCTTCCTGTGCTCTTGATATACTCCTGCTTCGCTTCGATTCCTCCTCGCTTTGCTGTGTCTCGTCGTCGCTTCTGACATGGTCCTCATTGCGCCTGGTATACTTCTCTGCTTAAAAGATTGTCAGGGTAGCTGATACAGGAGGAGTCATTACTCTTGGTGGCGTGCTGGGATAAAAGAATGTTCCCGTCTCAGTTCAAAACTATGTGGGAGGACGTCCCATATCTACCTACTCCGTACATTGTGCCCTAGCTACCTGGGTACCTAGTAGGCCTGAAAGAGCTGCTCCCGAATATAACCCTTAATGGTCCCGACGCCCGAACAGCGAAATAATTGGGAATGGTTGACAACACTCGAATTCACGATATGACCTAACCGAGGCAATTTCATACACCTAGCAGTGCCGATATTGACCAAAGTATCTGCCTATCAATGACAACTTCATCCGCCGTGCCTTGACATTAAGCGCGCTCCGAACCACAGCAACCTTGTGCAAACATCCAGGTGTGTTCGCTGTCTTGATATCAAATTGGCATCTGGTAAAGACAGGGCCCGACGTCCATACAAACGAGGCTGTGACTATGAAGTTCATAACCGAGAATACCTCGATTCCGGTGCCTAAGGTCCATTGCTCCTTTATCTACAAGAATCGTACATACATCGTCATGGAGCGCGTGCAGGGACAAACATTGCATGCGGTATGGGGCACCCTGTCGGAAAAGTCTCGTCAAGACCTGCTTCTTCAGCTGAAGCTGATGTTCGATGAGCTACGCGCACTCGAGCGGCCTCGGAATGTCGGTGTGCAGAACTGCGTTGGCGGTTCACTGTACGACTCTCGCATTCCTCATTGTCGCAATCGACTTGGACCGTTCAAAAATGTCCAAGATTTCCACCTTTGGTTGAGAGAGGAACACCAGCTTTCTTCAATAGAAGAGAAATTAGATCATCACCAAGACTGGCGAGAAATCAAGGAAATGGCTGTGAGACAGGATGGCGATTGGCCACCACCCGTCTTTACTCACGGAGACTTGAACCCATTCAACATTCTTGTCCGGAACGGCAAGATCGTTAGCATCATCGATTGGGAGTTTTCTGGCTGGTATCCCTCCTACTGGGAATATACGTCCGCTTGGTACGGCAATCGATTGCGTCCCTATTGGCAGAACGTTCTAGCCCAGTTTTTAGAGCCTTTTCCTGATGACCTGAAAATGGAAATCACACGGCAGAAATGGTGGGGAGATATCTGAATTAAGTCTAGGGAGCAGCATCGAGCAATTTGAGCTCAGTGACATTCGACCATGATCAAGCAGCTACGGTGAGTCGACGGGACAGGCCTTTCAAGCGGCCAACACATTTGTGCCGAACCCATATCGACCGTTCGCATCTATTCTAGCCACATGTTTTCTGGCAAGCATATCGATCTCTGTTCGAACCGGCTTAAATCTGCTCGCGATGGCGTGGAGGGCACTCGCGACCCACGTGCGACACCTCCGATCTGGGGTATGTTGAATGATTAGAAGATTCCGAGAAATGCTAATCAGGTGGTCCTCGTCCTCGATCTTCGCTCTTACCCCACGAGCTTGTAAGCTCGTGGGACCGTGAAAGGGTCTTACCAGTGTTTCTTCGTATTGCTAACCATCACCAAGAGTAATGCGGACGCGGTAGCGCTTGCCTGGCGTCTTTCATGCCTTCTCGCCCTTCGGTTCAATTCAAAACCCGCAATCTTTGGAACCGTATCAGATGCCGCCTCTGATAAATGTAAAGTTCCACATACTTTCGCTCTTCGTTACCAATCGCTCCACTAGGATACAAGGCGATGTAAAGTCTGTTCTTGTTGAAAGGCGTTCCGTCCCGGAAGCACAAGTGTTACCAAAGGAACGTAGACAGGTAGTTTGGGTTTCCTGCTTGGTCGAGGTTCGGGCACGGTAGATTGAGGAAGAACTTGAACAAGATGTAAATATGTGAATCCCTATGTATGTGCTTGGCAGACACCAACAACAGGTATTTGACAGGATTTTCGCAAACACAAGCGGCGACAAATGAAACAATCGGTATGGATCTGGGCGACTTTTGAGGCTCTCTGCTACGGTCCCACAACTTTGGAACGGAGATACTCTATAAGGGATGCACCTCCTCCTTTTGCTCCGACCGTTTGTGCTTAGCAGTTAACACACGTGCATCCGTCCAAGTCACCGGGGATTTCCGCAGGACACTCAAGCGGGTTCTCATAGGGCGGGATGATGTCAATGACTCCTCGAACGGCCACGCGTCCAGTCACAGTATCATACACTGTGTATGCATTGCGCTGTCCGTACCCCATTCGCACCCATGCGTCTGCGATCGCAGATGCCGCGGCCTCGCCTTGCTCGCTTGGCAATCCCTCGCAGTAGAGTCTCATGGTGTTTTTGTAGGTGTGGTCAGGGTCGTAAGTTTCTTTGGTCAGAGCAGCATAAACATTCGTGCCGTCGCAGCTGTCGGGACCGGTCGCTCGCACCTTGAGCTCGTCACGCCCATTGTCATCGTTCCCTTTCCTGTTTCTAGAATTTTGCTGATCCTGGGCAGCGGTAAAGGTTCGCAAGTTGATAAACGCTTTGTGGATGGCTACAACGGCGAGATTGCCAACATTGCTGCTGGCAAGTGCGAAGGCGGTCAGAGCGGCGACTTCGTTTCCGACGTCTTCAACACATGTGTTGTAAGGAATCTCCTCGCCACCTCCGTCACGACATGCGTAGTACAATCTCTGCCATTGACCGGCATTTCCTCCAATGTAACCGACGAGCTTCAATCCATTCACGAGCGTTGCCGAGTAGCGCTGCTGATTGGCGTTGTAGTCAACTCCAGGAAGGCCGCCGTTAGTTCCGCCGGCCGCAGTGACACGCTGGGTAGTCTTGAAGTTGCTGAGATCAGACTCGAGATGAGGGTACAGTTGGAGGAAGTCGGATGGCGCATGGACGGCCCAGTCACCTGTTAAGTCCGCGGATTCGAAGTGGACGATGGAGGCATTGGCTGGAGGCTTGGTCGTGCTGACATTCAGGGCTCGACCAGAGACAGCCGAAGCCAAGGCACCCAGTATGGTCTGAACGTAGATGAAGTGATGCATGATTGATATGAATGAAGTGTGCTATGTGTGTCCGAATGATCTTTGGGAGAGTGGAACACGAGCTATATATGTGATTTTGGTGATAGGCTCAGCCGTAGATTTGTCGTGCGTCCGGTTGACTGAGACTTCCCGAGTCTACGTTCTCCTGTGACGCGAAAACGATGCCACATTTCTTGAGAGCCTGTCATTTGTACATGCCGCGAGATTTCAATTTGCTCTCATACTTCTCCTGAGTGAGACACCGACCCACGCACCTCATCGTCGATTGCGAGTACGGCACAGGCTGACCGTCGAGGACTTGCATCAGAGCGGTAGGCATTTTCGGCGCCAGGTCGGCCGAGTGATAATTGGGACAGCGAGAATTTCCGATGTCATTTCCCCATTGGTGATGAACTCATGTTGGTGACCGGCGTCGAGGTCGTCGCGATGTTCGACAATTGTCGATGCACACTTGCCGTACACCCGGCCGTCTACCTTGTGACGCCATTTCGGCATGTCGTTTACCAGCAACAGGTGTCGATACTCACACGGGTACCCATTCACAAGGCGATAGTATCCACTCGGTCGCATTGTTGGCGCTACCACCTGCAGTCATCAACTAGCCGAAGGCTGCGATGCGGCCACTGTGTGATCTAGTGCTAACATAACGTACCCTTCATGTAGCGTCATTGACGATGATCGCGCCAAAACCTGCTAGATCCAATCGTCGGCGGCAGAATGCGTACCTTGAGTAGTTGAAGTGGAGGGGTGCTGTCCGTGTTTCTTGAATTCAGCCCCAATATGCCCTGTCCTGCGGCTGACGCTGGATATTGGATTGGCCATTTTTCAAAATCCAATGCGCGTACTAAGACGTCATTCGAGTGGATTAAAGCCATCTAGCACCTTTCAAGAAAGACTCACTCCGATGTCGGTTACTGACTCGTAATCGCGAAGATCTACAATCCAGCGCATTCAACGTTTTAGGCCAGATCGACTTGCCAATCTGATGAATTTGATGGGAACCCCGTCAAATTCCATCGATGAATTGATAGCGTCCCATCAATATGGATGTCCACCAACCGTCCATATACTACTAATAATCACAGCTTTTGATCCAACGATGCCAGGTCCGGCCGGATTACCATCACAAACTGTATTGATGATATCAACGCTACGAGTGCTAGATTTACAACTATCCAAAATCTCACGTCAGCCGCAGGACAGAGTGACGAAGTAGGTGGGTCAACGAGTTGCTGTGCCGCGCGGATATTTAGAAATCCGCGCTGATGAGGCGAACTAGCGCAGCCCTTTTCACTCCCGTTGCGACGATCGCAATTCTATGACGTTGAAATTTGCAATCGGCGTATATGTGGAGCTTCACCTCACAAGATAGCAATTCTTGCTCACTGTTTGAAAATATCTCACCAAAATTGCGCCGGGCTGGGACGTGCCCACGCAAACACACTTCACGTCCTTGGGTTGTCGACGAAGTCTCAAGGTTACCTCTTTCTACCTGGATGTGTTGTCACGCTACACTGTTCGAACTCCTCCGCCCGACAAATACCAACGCCCACGAATCTATTTGCCCAAGATGCCGAACGAAAATCCCAGATTGGCCAACTATCTCGAGACAAGAAAACTTCAACTATCCCTCGTGTTCATGATCGTCTTTTACACCTTCACCAAGATGAGCTTCGTCGAGCTGCTTGCGATTGTCATCTTCGGCCCAAACTTCCGGATTATCCCCGGCGACACTCTCGAAAAGCCCCCACTCGACTCCCCTACGGCCTGGATTCTGGGCTTTGCAAACTTGGCGATTTTGACTTTCGGTTTCTCCATTGCGTTCCGAGGATGGCGAGAAGCTGTCTATTCGCGGCCGAGTCTCATCTGCGACATCATTGCTTCCATTCCAGCAATCCCTTTAGCAGCATTCACGCTTCTCGCTGGTCGACCGGTGCCGCTCGGCGAACTCGTCAGTAGAGTAGCGAGGTGGTGGTGGCGGAGCGAGGAGCTAGGCGGCCAGGCCCAGATCGTAGATGAGACGAGTGCGTTGTTCACTCCGATTGGTCTGATGATAGGGGTGTCCATTGTAGCCGCAGAGGTTATAGTCGATTATCTTTATCCGATAGTAACTAAATATGCGGCTAAATCGAGAAAAATGAATTAAAGGATAAGAGACCGGACTCTGACTAGGAGGCTGTAGGGGCTTCTACAAACATTTATAGAACTACTAGAGAATCGAATCACGATAGTAACGTATGATTAGGAACCTATCTACAGATCAGTATGATGGATCTTCGATATCGCAAGGCTCATTCTTTAACGCGATCTAACTGACACGCGAGAACTCAGCCTTCTGCACCTAAATTTCAGGTACGAATAAGCGATGCGCTCGCCTTGAGCGCCGACTTCTGCTACAAGACGTTTGACGTGCTCCTAAATCCGTACGAAGACGAGGCAGTATTGAAGGACCACCTCTCGTTCGTTCACATCATGCTAGCCTGGCAGCATTCCTTACACATACTTCGGTCTTCTACGGAGGACAAAAGTTTACTATTTAAACAGTCCTGCACTCTTACTGACCCCAGTAAGGTGCCTTGGGCACGATTGGCTACGTTTCTGAATTGCCTGGCGGGGTTCTATCCTGTGAACGCGCGCACCCTCGAGCATGGTAGAAATGGCAGCTTTCCCGTATTGGAGCCCGTCCAGGCCCTATCCGAAGATTTCCTCATTCGTGGTCTCATCTGGAGCCGAGAGTATCATCCTGCCGACCACTTCAAGAACCAGAGTGAAGATGATGGACGCAACATTGAGTCGGAAGCGACCAACAAGCTCCGAGCAGACCGGGTGCTATGGCTTGGGCTGTTTCTAGCGTTTCGAGCGCGATATCTCCATTACGACGAAGAGACCAAACATTTTTCTGCTAGCCAAAAAACCGCCTGGAAGGCCAACAATGACGGGGTTGAATCGGTCGACATACCGAGATCCAGTGTCTAGTCGCCTTTGATGACTGAGGATACGACGAGGAAATCGTACTCGGGCGAACAATCGACGTCGAGGACGTCGATCAGCGAGGATGGATTTGTCAAGGTCGCAAGACTGAGCCAGTCGTAGTCACGAGGCCCTACGCCCCGGAACACTTTGAACATACCCAAATAGTGGAGTTCCCAGGGTGGCGCCCCTAGTTCCTTTTCAATTATATCCCGTACTACTTTGCAACTATATGCGTTTTCGAGTCGTTCTGACTGTGAGTACAGCTATCGTTGAACAACAACTTATGCGAGTCAGTTCATCAACCTACCGGTAGTGCTCGAGACAAAAGCCAATCCCTCTAAAATAAAGACGTTCTTGTCGGACTTTTCGTCTGCTTGTAGAATAGTCTTCGTTCGAGGGTCTCTTGAGCTCTCTCTATACTCGGTCCCATAATCGAAAATACTCGTCGTCGTATGCGTTATAACACTCCTGTCTAAAAGCACGGAACCTTAGCCGCGGACCGGAATGTCTCTATACATAAAGGCTATCCTAGAGTCTCGTTCTTCGGGGGAGCGATCTAGGACGATCAGCTCATTCCTTGTCAAAGTGTCACAGAGCTCGTATCGCCCCGTGTTGTTCGCGCGGATACACAGCACCCATGTCTGTTCCGATGTCTTTAGTACATAGTAGCAAAATTTGATAGCTATCTGCGACTTTTATCGACAAATTGGCTCAGGATGCCTTTAAATGCTGAGGACAGCTTGCCTAAGACTTGCGTGTCTTGAACCTCGCCTTGAACGACTATCGACCGTGTGCCGCCATTTCAGCGAAGTCTTCCGCAATTTTCGTTATCTTGTGAAAGCGATCCGCCGTTAGAGACTTGCAGACGCGTCTAGTCTCGCCCGAGTCGAAACCAATCGCCGCGGCTGGGAAATCCAGCCTTTCGGAGAAGAGGAGCCTCGATTTTGCGGCATGAGAAGTCGGAACTTATGGAACAGAGGGCTCGCCCGCTCAGCGGCGCATTCATGTTTGGCTGAATTTGGACATGCGGTTGAGATCCTCACACGTTTCATTAGCAATTGTATGTCGTCCTGCCACGCTAGTGAACTGCTCGCAGATACTCTCCAGATCTCTTGGGTGGCTGGTCCGCTGCCGGGAAGTATCTTGCTTACGCTCAGATCCCGATCGGCCTGTACGGCTGGAGCACCTCCAAGGTGACCGTTGACCTAGTCGATGATTTCTCTAGGGTCGTTTGGGTTATCGGGCGGATGAGCTAACGACGAGCATCCTAATCGGTCGCCGGTGAATACGTCGACTAGCATCGCCCTAGTCACAGAGATTGCGGACGAAAAGGAGCCGAGACTATTGCTTGATGTCTCCCTGCCCGGGAGGTAAGATCGTCCCGTATTGCCACTTGTATCGTGCCGGTCGGGATGGTGCTAACACTTGGTAATTGCCTGATATTGCCAGGAGGTTGATTACATGGTGCGCTTTTTCCTTCGGCGCTGGCTTGCTGATTTTGACCTTGCTTTCACAGTGTGCTCAATTCATACATCGGCCCGGGGTGCGATGGGCTACAGAGAATAGCCATTATCGCTATTCCCTGCACTAACCCGATGTCTTAATAATAGAGCTTGTCTCTCGCTTCTGATCCCCTGCTTCGAGATTCCTCACCTCGCTTCTCGTTCTTGTAGATCCGGATCGTTTTTCAGGGTCAACAGTGATCTCTAGCTGATGTTTCTCATACTTTCGATGCCTGTCGTTCTCGAGTGTTTGTCGAAGCGGGGTCGTGAGAGCGGTCATTGGGCTGTTGTCGGGTGCGTATGTTGGCTGCGGAGCATGATCGTCGGTACGGTGTACTATTGGATACACTTTTAGGAAAAATCCCCCATCTTAGATATATCTCTGCCGTCTGCTTCTGAATGCGTTTGATCGCGCACGGACTTCGAAGGCCTCCTTCGAAGTCCGTGCATACTTTCTGTGTCGTGATGTGCGGCGGGCATTCACTGTCGTTATTGTGATTTGTGTATTTTTAGTTTCGTACTCATCGCACTGCGTGCATGTGTAGAAGCGAGCGAGCACGATTTATGACCCAAATCGAGCCTAAAAGGCAATCTCCTCGTTTTTGAAGATGTATAGCACGGCTCTGGGCGACGCTAGTCATCCCTGCGGCGTTTCATCACCGACGCCAGTGATGCCTATCTGAACCCCGCATGCAACGGATCACTCTGTACCATTGAGACTTTACCCATGCAGTCGCTTTCCACGGACTTTAGAACTACACCCGCAATTTGGCGGCGATGGCCAGCGCCCGCTTTCCTGCCCGGGCGCGCGATACCTGGGTAGCTGGCCCCACTGTACCACGACACATGCTGATTCGCTCACGTCCTCGCATATCTTTGTACGAGGCGTGCTTGGAAACAAATACCAAAGCGCAAATTTATGGACGCGTGTTGCATTGTTGGTCATTGTGTCTCATCACAGATAATTGCTTGAGATTTGTCGCGCTGACCGCGCGACCTCCTCTCGGCGCACGGGAAATCATCCGCCGTTTGTGCGATTTCGCAGACCTCCGGCAGCGTGGGCATTTGGTTGGATATCGACCGATTTGCCGCCGAAACACCCGTGGACTTTTCTCAGCCTTCTTCATCCAAGACACCACCAGTGGCTCCGTCCATATGAGCAGAATGACACTGGGACCCTGTTGAAGATCCTGGTGTTCAGGGGTAGGCCGCGCAGCTATAAGAGGGCCAGGCCTGCTGCTCTCGTAAACAGAAGATAAATCAACCTTTTTTCCTCATTGTACACCCTACATTTTAACAGACCCCGCTATTTGACCACCATGAATCCTATGGCAACATTTCGCAATACATGATAGCAAAAGCGTACCTGGAACAACGCGCACGTGACAACGCGCAACCAGGAGACTTTGTTCGTCCAGCTCAGCGTCACTCCGTATCGCTAACGACACCCCGGGCCCCACTTCCCCAAGGGGCAGCGTCACATAACTACAAGGGCATCGCACCGGTTGCCGCCCTCATCCGGACCAGCAACTTTTACGATATCACGGCCACGCATTAGCGGGTTGGTCAATACGAGTCACGTGTGCAGCATTTCGCTTTATCCTTCCAGGTCAAAGAAATCGCTATCGATGCTAATAGAGGGGCGCACTAGGCGTGCCTATGAATCAGTAGTGTGGGTCACTACTAGAATGGTGTTGGCCCATGTTTTGGGGTACCTGAGTGAATCGTCTCATCTGCCCTTGAGAGTATTAATAGATAGTAAAGGCTGCTTTCATGTTAGTGGGGGGAGAACTGTAGGGCGACATATGTAGGAAGCTACATAAATGTTTAACTATTACTCGAACTCGTGAACTCGCAGGACTCGTCCTTTACTATAACTTTCTATACACTTACAAAGATGACGAACGATGCTACTGTTTACGATTCTATCTGATTGAGAGGCTGCTAGAGCTTTCGGAATTTCAGCTTAGACTTTACGCCTAATGCTAAGCTCCCATAAATGATTGTTACAGGCCAGGCTTGCGCTACTAGACGATAAGTATTTGCTGAGAAATCCAAGGCGTGGAGGAAAAATCTTAACCGAGCGCCTCGCTGCTAGTCTTGAGCTATGTAGTTTTGTAAAGGTTTGCTTCATTTCTGCTCGAGTGCAAGGATAAGAGTTATATTACTTGAACGTCGGTCGTAGTGACCTAGACGAAGTTATTAGGTCATAGTTAAGGGCGACGCGGAGGGGTATATAGCGTGATGAATAGTCTGAAAAGATACATATTTGCAAGGGGCATGGCCGGGGGGCCTTCGTGTACTTCGTGCGTAGCGCGAAAGTTCCACATCACAGAACAGCAGGGGTGATCATTCAGATCTAAAAGTTCCAAGTACCTAGTGTCTCCACACCATCTGCATATGCATTTCACCGCGAACCGGAACCTACAGTAGTAGAACCGTCTCAACAGTTGAGGCTAGCTGCAACATCGACCCATTCATGTCAACCCGGCCAGACTGCCATATCTGGTAAAGAAGGACGAGCTCACCAAATGCAGCAGCACACCCATAATTTCGCCCAATATGCTCCCCACTTCTGTGCCGAATCCTTGCTTCGAGCGAATACATTACAACATCGCCGTCTCGGCCCCTTGGTCGCGGAACCTCGACAGTAGTGTTCGTGGCGAAGTTTTAAGTCTACCTGGGTGATCATCAGCGGAGCCGAAGCAAGATTTTGCTGTGCAGTCTTGAAAGAAGACTGCACCGCCGACACCCGAGAGTCTATTCGAATTGCTTGCTGGTAAACCGGCGAAGCACTCCTGTGGACCTGCGTTTTGCGCAAATTTGAACCGCTACTGTGCTGTGATCGATCACGGCCCCGGTTCGATCATTCATGCTACAACCTCGCTTTGGTGGGAATGAAGTTATGCCTGGCGCTCAGCCGCCGCCCTCTTCGGTCTTGTATTGAGTGTCTCCTGACTGCACATCAAAAGCGACCAATCTCCCCCATCAGCCTCGGAACTCCCTTTTTGAGCAGTGCTACCGGCCTTAATGGTGAAGCGCAGGCTAGTGCACCGTCTGCATCAAAGTCTCTCTCGTCCGCTACTAGAGAGACACTAACAAGGGGCGGGAAGCAGGATAGGAACGGGTTGAGTTGGCGATGAACCAAGGACATATTTCCCAGCCTCTGCATTCTACGCTTCATAGTTGCTAGATATTCCTGCAGGATACTGAGATGATCCTCCCGTAGTAGTGAAACGAGACCATGTTCCCGGATAGCGGGTATGTTAAGGTCGTGCGGCGACGGATATGAGTTTACGCTTCGCGGAAGTCTTAGGTAAGGACAACTAAAGGATTTGTATTTACGAGGCAGCATCGTACGCTATCTAGAGATCAACGATATACAAGGCTCTCTAATTAGGCATAAGAACAGGACGCGAACTGTTAGACTTTATCTTTCGCGGCGTTAGTAAAGGTTATTATTCCGAGTGTCCGAGTGTCCGTGTAGAAGACTTCCAATCGGACCGACATAACAACTAATCTAACGATTAGTCGATATTATCGAATAACAGTTCTACAGCGCGAGTCTGTCTCGTATAGTAAAGGAAAAGTAATAATCTCGAAAGGATGTCTTAGCAAAACCTCGTAGACGGCAACCTGAATTATCCGCCGACTTTAACGCTTAAACGGATTCAATAATCGCTACGATCTTCGCTAGCTCCTAGCTTAGTAGAGGAGGAATACAAATAGTAAGTAGAGCGCGGCCAGCTTTAATAAGTAATCTCTATATACGATCTTATCGTCTCGTAGTCGCGCAGTAATTCTGCAGAACATCGATACTCTCGAGCGCGAACACTGTGCTCTAGATCCTTCTATCTTCTCCAACTCTTCTCCTTCGTTTCTCCGTCTATCCCTCGGTCCCCTTCCCGCACTCCTCCTTCTTACCTCGCCCTCTCCGTCTCAACCTCTTTGTACGGCTTCCCTCGCCGCCGCCGCCCATTACAACCCCTCCTCCCCCTCCTCTTCCTCCTCCGACGCCGCGAAGCTAGATAGAAAAGGATGTATAGAACATATAGAGACCGACTAGCTTGGTAGCAATTGTTCCGTAGCAAAGCGTAGTAAAGGAAATTTGAGGCGGAAAATCAAGGCGGAGAAGGCGTAAAGGTATAGAAGGAGGCTACAAAGGAAGGCGTAGTGTAGAGTGTGAGTTGCGTGTATTACGATTTCTATCTCCGAGGCCAGGGCTAGTTTTCGGCCGTCACGTTAAGAGCCTTTGTAGCCTTCGCGTGTGATAGCTTTCTATAGGCTCGATGAGGGATGAGTCTTTATGCTGCTTCCTTAGTAGAATAAAGACCTAATTGCTGTACTTGTAAGGAGACTATTAGAACGATCCCCAGGAAGTTGAGAAGCGGTCCGAGCAAGGACGGCCGGGGCTTCGTATTCGTCTTAGAAGTTTGTCGTACTGCATTTTAATAGATTGGAATACGGTTATAGAAAGAACTGTAGGACTAGAGCAAGGAACGGCCTGATCTATTATGCAATCTCTTTGCAGCATACTCTAATGAGTCCGCATACTTCTAGAGGCCTTTTCAGAAGCTCAGGCAACCTATTAATATCCTTAACATGAGCTGCCGGCGACGGCGACCATCTTTTACTAGCCTTTGGGAATGACTCCCTCGACCAGATGTAATTCCGCTGAGACTATTGCAGGCGAGGCGACTGTAAGCAGAGAGAGTGTGCTTAAATAGGACCGGATTGTTAGTTAGCAAATTCTCCCGTATTATGACCAGGTGTAAGTGTGACGATAAACTGCTAGCTGCGGTATCCCTGCGAGAGCTAAGAAAGTCGGGAGAGGAGGAGACATCCGATGCTCTGTCTCACATTATCTGTCCGAAGTTGCCGGGAATGGAGCAAACGGTCTGCTCCCACGCTCATTGAGATCGAACGCAAATGCGACTTGGCCGGCAGACCGCGCGAGCTGCTTGACTTTGCTCTTGTCGTGACCTTGAACTCGAAATTCCGATGGCTTCGCCTCTGCCTTTGCCCTTCTCTGCAACCTTACCTCCAACGCTCTGGAAAGATTGCCTGCCGTTCTTCTTGATCACGGTATAATCAACATGCCAGCTCATCACACGACTATGCCCGCCAACTGGAAGTAAGGGTAGAGAGCCGAAATTGCTGTGATCGTTTTGTATTAACCTTCCCTCTGTTCCGCCGCGAGTCGCGCTTCTTCTCCGACGATATCCTCACACAGCCTATCAGCCTTCTGCACATATTTAGTCTTTTTTTAGATGTCCAGAAGCGCGCGCTGTGAGATGAGTGTCGAAGCGGGATCTAGTGCGTAGCGTGAACGAACCGCGACGATGTGCTCCATTAACTGAGCAGCCTTCTCAGTTTGACCGTAAGTATCGTATGCTCCTGCAAGCGCGTGCTGCGATACGAGTCGGTCCGGATGCTCCTCCGCGAGGACCCGC